TTTTTTCAACTATGTAAAGCAACAAAAATTGATTACAGCTAATCAGCGCATTTTAACGAATTTGCAAAAGTATAATGTCAACTGATTTCTCCACTACGTTCAAAGCAATCTGGCAAGTCAAAAAACAAGTCTTACAATATATATTTTATATATCAAGACAGTATGTTTCATATCTTGTCAACAATTCAATCATTTTGAGACTAACATATATGTGTCTTTTGTCTATGATCACATGTGTAATGCTAGCGAGGAGAATAATGGATGAACAGAGGTGTTTCACCTAATCGTCAATTAATTCCAACGATAAAGGTTTTAAAGCTGGAAACTTATTTCAATAAATCATTTAATCGCAATATGTAAATTTCATTGACAATAATGTCTATCAAAAGTCCTGCAATAATTCTCTATATTATTTGACCTTAAATAATTGCCATTTCTCCACTATTCCTTGAAAGAAATATTTCCACCAGACTTCGAATCTCGTTGTAACAATGGCTATATATGGTGGATTTTTATATTGTTATTGAATTGAAATAATGAAAATATCTTCCAGCCCTACGAATATGTAGATGGGTGTACTTGGTTTTTGGTCCCATACTAAGGTCAACAACACAATCCTTAAATAAATTATAACATACTTATGGAAAACAGCTACTGATTTATATAGGCAGAGGTTCTAGCCATAAGTATTTTATAGTTTATTTATCTGCCCAGTTACTAAATGCCACTTAAAGAATTACACAATCCTTGTCAGCGCCATAGCTGCTACAAGTAGGAACACTGCTTAAAAAAGATCATGGTTTTTTTCCGCCAAAACTGTGATTCAAGTCAATAGTACATTGCCCTAGCACATGATTACTGTGACGCCAAATAATTAGGATATCATTTTAGATCAAGTAGTATTTTTATATATATATATATAAAATATGTAGAGTGTTTAAGTTATCACAGATGATCTTTGAACGGGTCGTCCAGTGATTTGGGGTTATTGTAGCCATTTTTAGTATATTATTGCAGATAAGCACGCTACTTATCATGTGCTAAAATATAATGCATATAAAATGTGAACATATCAATACTGTTTTAATCAAATATAATAAATTATTTTGTAGCATATCTAGAGATAATAAATACCAAAATATTTTTACAGGATTTGAAAGAAATTATTCTGCTTTTCACTTCAAAAAATAAAACTGGCCTCATTAATTACTGCATGTAAATGTTTTCCCTGCGTTACAGGAAGCAATTGTATAAAAAAAATTCAAATGAATCCAGAAATGTATCATAGACTCAACCCTAACAAATTCATACATTCAACAATGTGATGAGATACCGGTAAATGTATTGCTTTGAAACTTGATGTTTATGAGAAGTCATTTCTTCGTCCGTTTGTTTAGGAAGGATTGTCTGATAGCCATAGTATTTCTTTACAGGCCATTCTCAGTATACATGTAAATAATTTCAAGATTCAATAATAATTAATTAAAAGAAAGGTACAACATCAGGCTTAGGACAGAAGTTTGTGGTTCTGGGCTGAGTGTGGCCATTTTAAACGAGGAGGGTGTATCCAAACTGTCTGTACTAATATTATTCTCCACATACAAACAGTTGTTTTATTTTGCTTAATTACCATTTATTGTATACATTTATCATGTAGATTGATTGTTGTTACTCTTCTATATTATTGATCATAACTTCTACTCAGTGGCTATCTAATCTTGAGAAGGTAAGTTCTATTGTAGATTATCACGCGAGTCCAGGTGCGTGGTGACCCTGTATTTTGCATGAGGTATAAGATCCCGTTTATGTGTGTTCGGAGGAGGAGGTGGGGTGGAAATCCCTCCAGGTAATATTGGGTTGTGTAGTATATCTGACCCACGGTATATTTTTGATATTGGTTAAGCATTACGATTATGATTATAATGTTGAAAATCGCATTGAAACCGCATACAAAGATGGGTTGCCAGGCAACAAAACATAAGCCCACGGCAGTTAAGTCATCCGGGCAGTCAACAAGTGTTGTCACATAATTTTTCTTTCGTCATATTATTTGCAATTTTAACATCAAGCCTTACTTGCTAGTTGTAAGTCTATTTTTTTATTATTTACCCCAATTTATTAAATTTGTTTACCCCATTTCCAAGAACACATACACCATTTTTGGGGGGACTGTTGATTAATTTATTGCATAAATAATTATTATACTCAATTTACAAGTGTTTTTTTTGTGTTTATACTTGTTTTATGTGATATTAAAATCTTATTTATTTGCTGTTTTATGTAATGAAAAAGAAAATGAAATGGGGTTTAACATCCTACTGTTCTGCTCCGAACTTGGCTAATGAAGATGGGTAATGAAAAAAATATTGACTTGACAAAATATATGCCAGTATATATATATATATATATTTTTTTTTGAAGTAACTATAAAATGATGAGCTGGTTATCTCCAAAAACTTTGACAGCCATGTCTTATAGACACCCATATCTCAGACAGTGAAGACAGGGATTAATTAACACAACCCCCATAGCTATTATGGAACAGTCCTAATTAGTGTACTCCACTCAGTTAATCACAGGATTGGAAAATCTTTTAAGTTATGCATATGCTTATTGGAAAACTACACAAATGTTGAATAAATAGGCTTAGTTTGCTAGTTTTGCATCTAGTAATAAAGCAATTAAAACAAGCCAACAGTGAGGCTGATGTCCCCCGCCGAAATAGGAAAATAATTAGAGGACACATATAAATTTATCACAAATTATCTTTTACAAAGTATTGAACAATCAAACAGTATATCTTTACTTATAGTCTAACAATCAAAGTAGGAGAGTTATTGTTTTCCAAAGTCTCGACCAATCAAATTGCGTATCGCTCTGCTTACCCTGAGCAGAAAATGCTCATTATCAAACTTAGTCAAGGTATTACTGTAATGAAACTATACACCAAGTTTCATCAATCTCACTTAATTAGAACTAAAGTTATCGTGTCCCAAAGCATCAACCAATCAAATTGCTTATCTCTGCTTACCCTAAGCGGAAAATGCTCATCTTCGAACTCCATCAAGGCATTGACCTAATCAACACATACACCAAGTTTGAACATTCTAGCTCAATTAGGAAGAGAGTTATCGTGCCCCAAAGTATCAACCAATCAAATTGCTTATCTCTGCTTACCCTAAGCGGAAAATGCTCATCTTCGAACTCCATCAAGGCATTGACCTAATAAACACATACACCAAGTTTGAACATTCTAGCTCAATTAAAAGTTATCGTGTCCCAAAGCATCAACCAATCAAATTGCTTATCTCTGCTTACCCTAAGCGGAAAATGCTCATCTTCGAACTCCATCAAGGCATTGACCTAATCAACACATACACCAAGTTTGAACATTCTAGCCCAATTAGGAAGAGAGTTGTCGTGTCCCAAAGCATCAACCAATCAAATTGCTTATCTCTGCTTACCCTAAGCGGAAAATGCTCATCTTCGAACTCCATCAAGGCATTGACCTAATAAACACATACACCAAGTTTGAACATTCTAGCTCAATTAGGAAGAGAGTTATTGTGTCCCAAAAAGTGTGACGGACAGACAGACGGACAGACAGACAGACAGACAGACGGACGAACCCATTTTAATAGTCCCCTGCTTTCTTCGAAAGGCGGGGGACAACAATGATTTGTTTTTATATACCACTGTGGAACCACAACCAGAAACAAGGCCCAAGAGGGGGGGGGGGAACAATCGCATGAATAGAGATCTACAAGTTATAGCCCAACTGGATTTTGGAGCTGCTCCTCCTAGACAAACTAGACAAAAGAGGGTCTATAGGGAAATTGAAAATAGAATTTTACGACTGAAGGAGTAGCTAGCCCAGGGTGACAAGACATCAATCAAATTCCTTGATGCAGTAAACAACCGTGTCCACCCCGACTGATGAGTAAACTGTAATCTACTATGTGTGCTATCATATTAAGTGTGTTATAATAATTATAAGTGATTTAAACGATAAAACAAAGTCTACTTTGTGTGCTATCACATGTCAGTGGTATTGTATTATTGTGTGCTATAATATTATATGTGATTTATCATAAATAAATGATTTATCCTGTATTTCTGTTGTGGATGTATAAAGTGTACATGTATATATCATATGGAGAGAGAGAGAGAAATGGGGTTTAACGTCCACTCGACACAAACTAGGTCACTTCGGGACTAACATATGGTTTAATTTTATTTCCATAATTCGCTTGCGCGTAGGGGTCTTTAGCAGTAGGAGGAAACCGGAGGACCCAGAGAAAACCCACGAGGTTGGACAGGCGACCCTACTCCTTGTCACGCACAACCGAGGATTCGAAACGACGCCAGTTGACTCAATGACAGAGCTTATGATACAGTGCGCGCACGCTAACCATTCAGCCATCCAAACCCCCATATATCATATGTGACTGTTTCATACAAAGTACAAATATATTTTAATTATATTTCAGTATATGTCAGTGCTATCATATTAAGTGTGCTATTATATGTGATTATCAACAATATCAATAAATGATTTCATCTTGTACTCGGTTGGACTGTTTCTATTATTTAGCAAATGTACATGTAACAGTCTCTCAATATGCTGTGCACCCAACCATAAATGTTGTTGTTTTTGGGTATCTAAGATATGGCTGTCTAAAGTTTTGGGAGCTAATTAGCACTTATCTTTGATAACAATTTACATATGTATAATTTTGAGGATGCAACTTAAAATTTTAAGTCTAAAAAAGGGTCCCAAGCCAAGTCAAAAGTACAATAAAATTATATAGTTATGTTTTTGTTCTGTTTTAAAAGAAAAAAAAGAAAATTCCAATATTTTGGATTTGTGTTAAGATAATTGACTTTTTTGGTGCTAAAATTTGAGGTTGGTCACAGTTAAAAATATTAATAAGTGGAAGGCTTCCGCCTCTATCACCTCTGCACATACAACATCCCTCATCATCATACTCAGTACTCACCCTTTATAAACATCAATCTTTTCTTGAAATGAATATCTACATGTACTTTACCTACAACAAAATATAATAACACAATGACTTCCAAATTACTGTATATATTACATAGATTTTTAACTTTAAGATGCATTAAGTAAGAGCTAAATCTGCCTATTGCAGTTTTTTCTTTTGGCTTTAAGGGCGTTGAGTAGTCTAAGATGCGCACTACTGAGGACACATAACAGTCCAACTGTTTGTTGTGTAATAATGGAGATACAAGCGGAAAGAAAAAAAACTATTTATAGCAAACAAGAAGGTTTTCCCGACCTAGATCAGTTCTTGAATAAATTATGACATCGTATACACCATTCACGTCATTCGCTGTGTGTCCAGCAGTAGTTTCACACTGGATCATTCACTTCTATCTAGATATGACATCAGAAGCAATTCCTTCTAAGACGCGATTATCCAGGTCTACCATCTATTGCGATTGGAACATGGCTGAATTTCATTTTTCGATGGTCGAAGACTGCTATTTTTGAATGTATAGAATGATTTTTTGAGCAACTGAGGTGGTGCACTGAAGTAGATATTTACTTTTTACGTCCGAATTGTTGTATTTTAAAACTTGTTGTGGACATATTCAAAGAATTATCCCCAAATCACAAAATCCCGTTTGAATGTAAATACCTTTAAAATACTTTGAGTTGATATTTTCCAACGTTTTTGGTGTCGAAATGTAGCTTATAACCTCTACTTTGCATTCACTGGTGTGATTATCGATATCTCTTTTTAGCATGTACTAATACTAATAGAATTTTCAAGAAAACTTGGAAATTGGTGTGATTATCGATATCTCTTTTTAGCATGTAATAATAGAATTCCCAAGAAAACTTATCAGTTTTTTTGTGTTTCCATGGATACCAGACAAACCACAGCCTATAATCAAAAATTGACCAGTGGTTTTTATGGACTTGCTATTAGCATTGTTCATTCCAAATTTAAAGAAAATCCATGCGGCATAATTGAGAAAATTTGACTTTTATTGTCATCGACACCCTTTATTATCATGTTTTTGGGCCAAGTTTTGGAACATAGTTGATAAATAAAATTGGTATTTTTTTGGTGATTAACATGTAGTTTACCACCCAAAATAACAAAAAATGTCTTATCTTATCAACAAAAATTACAGTGCTAGCTTTAAAATCTGCGTTTTAGACTGTTCAACACCCTTAAATGTTATATAAATTATTATTTAGATATTTGTTAACATGACTAGCCTATAATCAACTCTCTAAATCATCGAATGGCAGAAATTAAAATGGATTTAAACATCTGTGAGATTTATAAATTTATGATAAAATGGACAATCTAAGCTAAGTCTCAGTTGTAGCAGAAATGTAACACCATGCTCTATCAAATTGAGATCTCCTGTGTACGTGTATTTGATTTAAGGTCTGAGGTGTTAAATATCGACCTGTTTTTGCCACTTGGACACTAGTGTCCCCCAACACTAACTTATACCTGAGCTTCTGTCCATAGTTTTAACTGTGATCAATACATAACTCTGTTTGATTAGAAGGATATTTTAATACTGGATAACATATTTACATGTACAACTCTTCATATGAAAGTCATTGTGGTTAGATATAATAACGTCTATATAAAGCTGTTCCCCCTAGGTCTCAGAAGACCTAACCTCCCCACGGTCCGAGGGCAGACCCTCTCCGAGGTCTCGGAAGACCTCTAGGTCTCTCTAGACCTGATTCTAAACTAGGCTTTTTATAATGTGGAGCAATATCTGTCGCGTCAGCTGGGGCACGCTATAGTTAATAGCATTAGTAATCAGAACAATGAAAACTAATTATTAAGAGTCACATATCTTAACTCTAGTCAACAGTTGTTAATACCTGTTATGCTTAAATATTATATCCTATAGACACTCAGAGTATACAAGTTTGTTCAACCCATTACATCTTACATAATACTATGTCATAAACCCTACACCTGATACAGATTAAATCTTACAATTAATTGCTTACCTTGCTAGAACCAGTATGAGCCACACAACACGCTGTTAAAAAAATACGTCCCCGTCTTCTAAACAACTTGTCCAACGTTATTGAAATCTAAATATAGGGTAACACACAAATTTACAAACTCGGCCATATAAGATGAAACGAAATTTAGGTAAGCCTTGGGGGGGGGGGTAATTGAAATCTTTAACAAGTTGACAATCTTCAGCCGTTTATTGCTTTGCCTAGCCCAATTACAATAATTTACAATCAGATTTTTTCAAAAATCCCAATTTTTCCCCCCAGGCTTACCAAAATTTTATTTTATCTTATATGGCCGAGTTCGTAAATTTGTGCATTGTGTGGCTCATACTGGTTCTAGGGAGGAAAGCAAGGTCTTATTTTCTTGCTAAGATGTTCATTTACATTGTTCAGGGATTCACAGGGACTGACACCTGACCGTTTAGCAGTGAAATGTTGCCTGGTAAAATTGACTGGGAAGCGATTTTATTTTCGACAAGGATTCAATAGGAAGGTTCTTGAACGTACAGGGCGAGTGTAATGAGACATACGTTCAGAGCTGAATTACAGGTGACCCTACTCCTTGTCATGTGCAACCCGGGAATCGAAACAGAATCTTGAAGGAAAACTGTTTGATTAACCCTGAAGGCCTGTACTGTACTGAATTCTACTCTCAATCATAATCTTTAGAGCATGAGCAATAAACTATAACACATACTTGTGGAAAACTTATTTATCTTGGGCAACGCTTCGAAGAGAATACTCTTTGAAACGTTGCCCAAAATAAATAGTAGCTGTTTTCATAAGTATGTGTTATAGTTTATCACTCTCAATCAGTTGCACAAAATTTTACTTATTTATGTTCTTCAAAGACATTATTTAGATTTGGTTTGCCATAATCATTTATTATTAAAGAAATGGGGTTTAACTGTTAAACATCCCAGCTTTCTGCATCAACCAGACTAAAGAAGATGCCGGGCCACGATGTACTATGAGGGACATCAGACAGATATGTTTCTGTCCAATTCTAATTGTAACAAGGATAAGTGGACATCGGTTTTTAATCCCACTTGAATGACTAGACACAATATTTAATTGCTAGGCCCTCAGTCGACCTGCAAAACTGAGGAACTTTTTTGGCCAACTGGGATCGAACCCAGAGACTAAGGGTTAATGAACCAGTGCCATATGGTACCCATGCAATGAATAATAGTAAATAAAAAAAAAAATTTTTTTGTTGATTTGAAGTATATTTCACACATTTCAAAGGATATTCTAATATTTTGCCTTCCGGTATATTCTGGTTTATTCCAGTAATTATTAGTGATCTGTTGCCTAATTTTATGCATGAGCACGTCAGTTTCTTTTTTGGCTTAAACTGTCAACAATGGAATACTAAATCAGATACATATACATCCCATCACTGGCTCGACTACATGTATCTATATATGGACTTTGAAATGGAAATGTACACAGATTGATATATACCCACTAATTTGCAGGCCAAATTTAATTAAATAACACTTTTTTTACCCATCTCCATTCATATTCATGATATTGTATTTTAGATGATGATTTAGCAGTACCTACCACTGTTCGTTTACTTCATATATAAAGGCGATGTTCTGTTTGACTAATAAAACAACAATGCCCCTAGACCCAGATATTCACCTTCGGCTTATTAAATTCTCCAATAATTTACTATGAATTTCAGACGGTCAATCACATGACTGTCACGTGCTAGTCGGTTCTTGGGTCAATGATTTCACATGTCTGGCGAAAACGATAACAATTGCTAGATTATAACACCACAGACACCTTTTTAAGATCCTGTGTATACTTACCATTAAGGGTACAATTATTCACAATAAAATTACACGCTACGTCTTTTGGTTATTTTATAAATATTTATATTTCTTATTTGTTTACACAAAAGGTCGACATCAAAATTCCTTCTGGAACAGGACGGCCTCTTACATCCAGACAGATTTATTTTCCTGAAGGATATATTAGTTATCTCCCTTATCTAAAACTGATTTTATTTCCTGTTATAGTCGCCAAAATTAAAAATAATTATTTATAAATTCGATACATTGTCACTGAGTCGAACAGGTAATCCAGATAATTACAAATACGTCAAGTCTGTGTGAATATTAGTTAATGTTTTGGCCCCTGTGATGTTTTGATAGCAAACTCGTCTTCTTCGTAAAAAGAATGGCGATATCAATATAATCATAAGACAAATAATATTATAATAATTAGGCGACATAAAAAAAAAAAATTAGTTTGTGATCGTCCAGCCCGCCCAGAAAATTCTACTCGACCAGAATTTTTTTTAAATTTTTATTTTCAAAATATACCCTCTTACGATGTTTAAAACCAATGGTAAAAGTTCCAAAATGTAGCCATGCTACGAAATTCCTAAGCGCAAGAGTTAATGTATGATGAAGTGGATATAATTATTTATTGACAGTGTTCCAATACTCTTAAAATGCGTGAGACTGAATGATATAAACAAATTAATTGTGACCTGTTAACGGCAGCAATTATTAATGGCCGACATTTTCGTTTGCACGCGGACAGCACCAAATACAATATTTTGAATATCGGTACAATAGAACCTGTAACTATCTGTTAAGATGTGAATACGTCTCGCGGATTCTGAATTACATGTCACTCAAATAAATGTAACAACAGATTTTCGGAATGGCCATGGGTGGCATGAATGACTAAATCAACCGATTATAGTGATAATTAGTCGTTATGAAAAATGTTTTTTTATTTATTTATTATTTTTTTTACGAATTCTTCTGATAGTCTTACTATTCACAAACTACAATATTATGAAAGTTGAAGGTCTAAAAAGAATATCAGTCCAAAGACATGATATGAATTGAAAATTTTGCAACATTTGATATCCTGCAACATTAAACCAGTCGACACCACCTATAAGTGTTCAGTTATAAATCTCTTTATATCTGATTGTATCCAAGCCAGAATATCTAAAGTTTAAAAAATTAATCTGAACAATTAATCTACTACCGGTACTTCAGTGACAATGTTGACTTGATAGCTATAGACAAATCAAAGACTAATATTCATAGTGCTTGTAAACTAGAAAATCTCTTTCCAAAATAACATTAGGATGATACTGGCTATTTTGCCTTATACCTTTCATATTCATATACATGTAAGCAAGATAATCAAGTTTTAGGGACAATAGTCGGTCTCAGGGAACAAGGTTTGACGATGGTTTGTGATAGAAGGGTCCCTAGTGAAGATATTTGTAGTTTGCTACCTATAAGAGCTACGGGCTAACTCCAGGACATCAAAAAATCCAAGATGGCAGCCAAAAGTGGTCTGAAATTGACCTGAACAAACATTGTTGCCAAAATGACCAGTGTAATATGTCATTTTACAGGTTTTGTTGGTCATCCGACTCAGAATATCTGGAACAATTTATGGTTGTTATTATTACATATGTGTCTAGGTCTGTAGTCTTGAAAATTATCAATTTTTGTATCCGTCTCCTTTCAAATTAGATCTGTTAACTTGGAAAAGGCATATCCGCATTTATCGCCCCCCACAACCTCTGAACGACATATTACATGTGTATGTATATGTTGCTATTGGTATTGAAAGAATTCTTTTCAAGCCAATTTCTGTCATCATTTTGGATTTTAGTGGCTATATTGGATCAACCGTTTGTGAAACAAATCGGAAACTGTCAAAAATGACTCGGGTGACCAACAAGTATAATACACAGCTCATTTAGCCAACAATGTTTGTCACGGTCAGTTTCAGACCAATTTTGGCCATCATCTTGGATTTTCTACTCTCCTGGAGTTAGCCCGTAGTTTTCATAGGTAGCAAACTACAGATATCTTCACAATGGTACCATCTATCAGAAACCATCATCAAGCCTAGTTCGCTGAGAAATGGTCACGGACATGGGGGTTGTGACCCGACTACAAGTAACTCACCTGAAACCTCTTCTCTTAGTTGATATGTAACAAGGCATCAACACAAATTTTAGACTTTGTCTGTTTCTATTTCATTTGCCTGTTCTCTAGTATGTATTTTCTAACAAGACCATTTCAGGCTCTAAAATTTGACTTTGGGTCCATTATCCATATTAGAGGTACATCAGTGGCTGGATAATTCCCATTATTATGATGAATTTTTGTTTCATTTTCTGATATTTATAAAATCTTGAATATATTTTCAGAGAAAAATTTACAGAATGGTGAGAAAGCGTAGAAACAATGCTTCAAGCAAGTCATCAACTTCTTCACTGAGAAGCAATAAAGGAAGAAAAGGAGGAACCCCAGAAGACTCTCCGAAAGCTAAGATTGCAAAATGTAGTACTTCAGTTTTGGATGGGACTCCGCCCAATGTTTATGTTACAGAAACGGTTGATCTTTATAAAGTCAAGCCTGAAGAATCATCAGATAATGTAATACAGGCTAAATGCAACAGAGTTATCCCCCTTATTATTGATGACGAGGATGAGAAAACTACGTTATACCAGAAAAAAATCCTCTCTAAGGGCTCAAATGGTAGACAGAAACATTCTTATTCTGAAATATATGTATTTACCGACAAATCGATGGCAACTAATAAAGATCAAAGAAATAAAGGTAATTCAGCCAATTTGGATGATTTGTCGTCAGTCATTAGATACTCTACTAATGAAACAGGAATTCAGGAGGAATTACCGTCATCCGTCAAATCCAAAACCATATCAGATGACAGGAATTCATTTGGTTTGTATGGGAAAAATAAATGTTCACCAGGGAAAAAGAAAGATTTTGACTTGTCTGGGAAAAGAAAACGTTCATTTGGCATGCATGGGAAAAACCAATGTAAACCGGTATCCAGGAACTCTCAGATGGAAACTGAAGAAAAAGAGAAGATGGTTCCATGTAATTTTGTTTGCAAACTCTGTAGTTCAGAATTTAGCGATTCACAAACCTGCTTCAGTCACATAATAGATAATCATACAACAATTGCAACTAACAAAAAGTGTGTTTGCCAGATTTGCTGGTCTTCGTTTACGTATTCGCATACGTTAAGAACTCATGTTATGAATAAACATGTTTATTTAAATTCTGAACAAGGGAAGTGTGAAGCATCTTCAGCGAAAACTGAAAAATTTGTCATAGAAATGGATTATGCTGAAGATGTGAAACCAGTTATTGATAAGAAGGGAAATGTAGTTGAAGTTGATCAAAAAATCATTTCTCAAAAAATTGGTGATGATGAAAATGGAAAGAATGTCAAATCCTCATGTTCATTCAATGATTCCAATTCATCAAACCAAAGTGCTCTGAAGCCATCTCCAAAATTAAAAAAAAGAATACGGCGTCGGACCACTGTTGTTATTAAGCACAAATGTGAAAAGTGTGAAAAATGGAGTCCAAAGAAATATTTCATATTGAGACATATGATTATCCATACATCAGAAGATAGGGTAAAATGCAGACAGTTCTTGTGTCAAATATGTCGGAGGAAAATGAAAAATACACCTTCACTGAAAAGACATTTACTAAAAAAACACATTATTACTGAGTATCCACAAACAATGCTCAAAAAAAAATTACTTGAGAAAATAAATGTGAATGAAAAGGAAAAACGTCCGACAATGGGTGATGTCCCTATTAAAAGGGTCATTATGCGCTACAACTGTGAATGTTGCAGTTTGATTTTACATTCCAAGCCTGCACTAAGCAAGCATTCTTCATCACATATACACTTGATCAATGGCAAAAAGCGGGACAAAGCGTATAAATGCGAAAAGTGTTCCAAATTGTTCAAAACACTGAAGGAAGCTTGTGATCATTTTGATGAGGAACACTTTTTGATTAATTGTTATGCTCCTAGTCATTTCATGGTCGGTTCTATTGCGCAGAACGAAGGAAAAATCGACCCTGCGCTCCCTAAGGAACAGATCAATTATTACTTTCAGTGTCATGCATGTTCTAAAATATTCCTCACAAGACATGATATTACTACCCATATGTCTATGTACACAAAATATGATCTGGCCCTGGATAAATCCAAATGTAAGCTTTGTGACAATTCTTTTTCACTACCTATAGATGCCACACGTCATATGACAAAGCATTTTTTAACAGTGGCCTACAAACAAACAATCGTTTTTAAACAGATTTCTGTTGAATAAACAAAGTGGACATGGGCATAATTCAAAAAGATCTAGTTACATTTGTCTTTCTTTATATTTCTTAACCATGTTTGGTGGGGGGGGGGGGGGATGGCCAAATGGTTAGTAAGTGCACACTGTATCATAAGGTCTGTCATGGAGTCAACTGGCGTGGTTTCGATTCCCCGGTTGTACGTGACAAGGAGTAGGGCCAGCTGTCCAACCCGATGGGTTTTCTCCGGGTCCTCCGAGGTTTCTTCCCACTGCTAAAGATCCCTACTCGCAAGCGAATTATTGAAATAAGATTGAACCATATGTTAGTCTCGAAATGACCTAGTTTGTGTCGAGTGGACGTTAAACCCCATTTCTCTCTCTCTTTTAACCATGTGTAGACATTAAGAATATCAAATTTTTTAATATGGTATCAACAAAATAGTTATTTATTGTCAACTTGAAGATGTTATCCATAGAACTGTTGTGTTTATTTTAATGTGTTCAATCTGTTCAATTAATCATGATCAAAATTACATGTTTTACATCATTTCACAAATTATACATGTATGTTCATTAAAGCTTCAGCATTCTGCTCACAGAGAACTATCTACTCTACTTCGAGAATAGATCTCTGATCTAAATGGCCATCATATCCAACAATTTGTATACTGTTTTGTAATGCGATGATACTCAGTTTCACACGTCTGTCATAAATACAAAGACTAAATAAACCTTAATTTGAAGCAAAATAAATACTTTCCTCAGTTCGCGAAGTATACATTTTGTTTTCGACTAAAATCGTCGAGTTAGGACTTAAAATGTTGGTCAACTAGCAGACAGACAGCATAAGTTTAGTATGAAGCTTCAGTTGATGATATAATATATCTAATTTTTTACAGTGTAATCTGCGCTGAAATTGTTTATTTAACATTTAGTTAAAGAAAATAAAACCTAGATTTTGTCAAGACTTGGATTCAAAATGGGCCCAAAAAATTTTAGCCAGCACTTATACATGTACTTAATCTCATCTCAATGTTGCAAAATCTTCAATTTATCATAACTTTGTTAAAGCTGCTGATTTCACATTTTTGGGACAATGTTTAATTTAATTTTCATGGTGTAGCTAATTCAAGCTAAAATATATCAAAATCAAAATACCACCAGTAGATAATCTCCATACTTGAACATTTGTAAGTAATTAAGAAAACGATATCAAATATCAACCGCTTGGATTCAGTATACAAAGGTATACAGACAACTCATCCCAAAGACAACTCATCCCAAGACAACTCATCCCAAGACAACTCATTCCAATATAAGACAACTAATCCCAAGATAAAAAGACAAATCATCCCAAGATAAAACAACTCATCCCAACTTTAAAACATGGGTAAAGATATAAGACAACTTATTCCAACAAATATAAGTGTTAGTTATATTTGTTTTAATACAATTGCTTTCTTTGAAGACCACTCAGATCAATCTGATTTTGTTATTAAAAATGTGTTATGAGTTATGTTAATAAAATTGATATTGTTGTTTTAATCAAATTGATATTGTTGTTTTAATCAAATTGATATTGTTGTTTTAAGAATAGGACGCTCTGTATACTTATCATAGCATACACGTTTCAATTCCTTCTTTGAACCATACATGCGACTGAAAATGTTGGCCCCAGTTGTGCTGATTGTTTCCATATCATTGTCCGATAGAAATTCGTCAGAATATGACATTATATCCTTATCTTTATGTATGAGTTTCAGTATAGCTAATATCTTGGGATGAGTTGTCTTTGGGATGAGTTGTCAGGTATTCATTACAAAGAGGCCCTTCAAAGATTTGAATGGAAATTATAGCTGTTGATGGCTTGTTCGATCATATCCTGTTTATATTGTCGGCAGAGGATGTTGTGTGTTGACATATTTTCAATTCATCATATCTTTGTAAATACTGTACAATTTTGGACGACTGATATTCCATATAGTAATTCAATATTACAATGTTTACAGGGGATTAAACATTCCACTAGTTTCATTAGATCATTATTTTAAACATGGTCATTAAAGGAACTAAATCGCTAATATTTGGGACTTAGATATTGACAAGAAATGGATTGCAACAAATATGATAATGTAATCTGAATGTATATAAACTGATTTAGATCCAATCGTTTCCGTTTTTTACACTAATTTCAAATCAGTTATGTTTGGCGAGATACACCAGAAGTCTCAGTTGAGTGGCAATCTCTAGCGTCTGGTTATTCCAGACAATTGCACATGCTGTCCAGATAAGAATAATGCGTCACCGTTTGACATGATTTGAGGAATGTCTAGCCTTGTTCTTCGAGTCCCTTGTTACAAATGGTGCTGAAATGCATTATGGTACATGATTCGTGTACCAATGGTAAAATGTTTATTTTGTATTAAATATTGGATATCAGAAACCCATCTTTTCCCGGCAAGATCACAACTTCAATGTTGATTTAAATTGACAGATAATTGGTGTTTTCAGTGTGAAAGACTGGACACAATATCTTTGATTCTACATGTAATAGAGTGCAAATGGTGAAGCTAAGGTTGATGTTGAGCATTTTCTGCTCAGGTTTAACACCGTGATATGCAATTTGATGACAATATAAATGTGTCATGTATTTAATTTGTAATTGAGGCAGATACCTCGGCTTTACTGTTGGCTTGTTATTATTAAATAAAATGTATGAAACTAAAATCACCGCCCAGAATTCTATTTTTAGAACATGTAATTTACAGCAGTGAAAGGGGCATTATTAGTGTCCATAAGGAAAAAAAGATAATAACTTGTGAATATTCAAACTAACCCTACACGTCCTCATTAACAAAAATCTACTTGAGAGAGGGTTTGCTTGAAAACCACCAAAACGGTGATAGTGCAGAGTTGTATGGTCGGATCAGGTCCAATGGAAAATTTCTCTTCTACAACAAGCACTAATGCCTCTTTAAAACTGAAATAACCCTTAAAACATTCACAACAAAAAAAACCCACAAGGTATATATGGATGCTTATTGTATTTAATAACCATGCTTTGTAATACATGAGGGGATGGATGGCCGAATGGTTAGCGTGTGCACGTTGAATCATAAAGTCTGTCACTGAGTCAACTGACATGGTTTCAAGTCCATGGGTGCACTGCTAAAGACCCCTACACGCAAGCGAATTATTGATTTAATGGTTAGCCCAAAAATTTTCAACCTGTTCAAAATATCTCTACGGTGATATTGGATGCCAAGACCCTACTGTGGCCGTAATTGCCCTTTTTTGACGTAGATGAATGTAGTAATATGGCACTAAGCTTTACTCTGCGGTCAACTACTATGGTTGAAGTACAGTTAACTAGGGTTAAGTAGTGTTGAATTTAGGAGTTACTGGCCACATGGTCCCTGCAGTCTGTCTAACCTTTCCTGGAGGACTCAACTCTTGAGGATTCAATTCTACTTCTTTAACTGCATATACACAATGGGTGAAAGAGCCATGATGGCTAAGTACTTGACTCAGGTGGACATGGAACTTGCTGGTCTGGCAAGAGACCTTGTGCAGTTGGAGGAACATGAAAGGAGAGAGGATAGAAGACAAAGATGATGGTGGACCAGGGACTGGCTGCTGTGTAGAACCCTCCACGGCTAGTATGAGGCTCTGATGGCAGAGTTTGAACTGGAGGACCCATAGGCCTTCCAGCAGTTCCTGCATTACCTTTCATGATATCCTGACCAGAAGTGAGGGATCCCCAAACAGACCACCTTTTTCAAACGCCCCATGTGTTTAAACTGGCATTCACCATCAGGTATCTGGCCAATGGGAACGAATACCGAGAACTCTGGTTCGGCTTCAGGGCGGTCAATACTTGACTATAGAAAAAAATAGACTTTGTAATTTCTAAGACAAGTTTACACTCTAAAATCAGATGTAAAATATGCCTCCACAAATATGGTCAAATTGGGGAAGGCTAATGCAATTGTTGATAAACTACATTACTCCGATTTAATTAGAATTTTATCTCCCTTTGATTTGACTGTTACATGGGCATTACTATGGTAATAATCTAGTTTATTTTCTCTGTTTTAAAGGGCATTTTTGACCAGAAATAAAAATAGATTATCAAAAGATTTTATGAAATTTGTGTATATTCTGATCCTTTCTGTGAAGTTTATATCTTTGTATCATATTTAGGCTATTAATTTAACAAAATTTATTTATGGCCCACCCCGATACTTCTTTTGTCTGTTTGTAATTACTTGCAGTGTATGTATTATTTGTATGTAATCATAATGTTTCTGTATATATGTCATCAGATGACTTAAAGATGGGTTCCCAGAAAAGTATTTATCGGGTGGTTTTTTCCAATAAAAGTATGGCAATTTTGGTATATATGGAAAGTAGAGAAATCCAATCTTACTAGAAAAATACTGGATTCCCCGAAAAACATTCATGGAGCCTATACAGGACAAAAATGTAAGGGTTCCCCTAATCAACAGCCCGACGATTAGGAACTTCTACACGCGTGATGTCAAAGGTCACAAGCGAACATTGAGCGTTTGATGTACAAGTTGATCAATTTTATGAAGAGTTAGACGTACAATACTTTCTGAGATAAAAATGACGGAAAAAGACGCGGGTAGTGAATAATCCGAGAATTTAATTAGGATTTGTAATAAAAAGTAAGCGATTAAAGACAACATCGTCTTATGTATGCAATGAATTCTCCCATGACTCCCAAGACGTGATGTAAACATGACCTGGTTTGATCGAATTTTAATAGCAGGGCATTCCTTCGCAATTACAATGTTTGAGAAGGATTTGAAGCATAATTATGACAAATTAATTAGTTTGAATATGTTTTTGGTCCATATATACCATTAAATCACCCAGTTTGTACGCGGGAACCCATCTTTAGTAGACTTACTTAAAGAAATAAAGAATTGAGGATTAAACTCTAGTTTAATTCTTACCCATTTTATTCATATCAGGAATATCTATTGCTAAGGCAACAAAGGTCTCTATTTTGAGCATTTTTGAAAAATTAGTTCCAGATTTACAACCTTACATGGCAAGCTATGTTTGATAATGGATTAGAACTCGCCAAATTCCATTCCATTTAAAAATAAAAACTCTTTAAATATTCGAAAATGTTTGCCTTGCTGTTAACATTTTCTGTCCCCATTGTAGATGGGCAGACGGACAGGTGACATCACTGGTGGTGGTGGTGGTGGTAGTGGTCTTGTGGTTTAACACGTGCGCATGCAATTACATGATCTGTCATTGAGTCAAGTTGCATATGTGACAAGGAGTAGGGTCGTCTGTCCAACCTCGTGGGTTTTTCTTCCAGGTCCTCCCATTGCCTAAGAGCCTTATACCCAAGCAAATTATTGAAATAAAATTGAACTATATATTAGTCCCAAAATAACCTAGTTTGTGTCGAGTGGACATTAAAGCCCATTTCTCTCTCTCTTGCTATGAAGGACATTTTGTCCTGATAATGGCTCCAACTCTCCAGGGATCTTAAACTAGGGTAGGCCTACTTTAAGGATAAACAATATATTATGAATACATATATTTATTTCAGTTTCAATACATATATAAATCATTTTAAATCAACAACAAATTAAATATATAGAGTAATATAGTTTTAGTATTATGCTAATTTTGATGAAACAATTATATAATAACTCATTTTACTTATATAAATAAGATCATAATTCAGTTTAATGTTATTTAATAACAACCGTTTAAGGACACCAATTTGTGCAAAAGTAAGGTATGTTTACTATTTCTGGAACACCTGGTACCACATCTTGTTTGAATTCATATATATTGTTAAAATTTTTGTGCTTTTTTGTGTTGAGAACCCCTAATTTATAACGAATAAAAATTGTTATTGGTTACGGCATTTAATGTCCACTTAAACAGAATTGACATCAAGGACAATAAATTAGTATGTGTACGAGGTTCAGTTACTATCATAATAATTTTGGATAACTTTTTGCCCTAAACAAAGAGTTATTTACATTAAAATTCATTATTATTACAAATTTTATTTGTAGGGTACTAAAAAAGCAAAACAGAATTATGATCAATAATTTAATTAATTCTATTAATTGATGTTTATACACTTTTATATATTAGTTAAATTGTTTATATACTATAGGGTAACTCTTAACATAAAACACCATATAAACAAATAATATAAACACAAGACTCTTAATGTAATGAAGCAGAAATACAAATGTAAGTGTACATTAATTTAAATTTTAGTTAGAATTTTAATTTTGTTTTGGCCAACAAAAGAAAATTTGCTTGCTTTTCTCATATTGTTGGCTCAAAATTTTAAAGATTTGAAAATTAAAAAAAACAAGCCAACAGTGAGTTTGAAATCCCTCGCCACTATCCCAAAATAAATATTTATCTTTTTACAAAAAATCTAGCAATCAAATTGCTTAACACTGTATTTAGTCTAAGCAGAAAATGCTCATTATTGAACTTAGTTTAGGTCATGATGTTATGAAACTATACACTCTCATTTCATAAATCAGAATCAGGGTTATCACATTTCAATCAAATTGTATAGTACTCTGCTTAACCTGGGAAGAAACTTCTCATCTTCAAACTCTGTCATACATTTACCGGTACCTAAAGCACATCTACACCAAGTTTGAGCATTCTACCTAAATCAGAAGCAGAGTTATTGCAGTAGCAAATTTATCCAAATATTACTACAAACATTGAAGAAATATTTTGGATTTCATGACATAATGAACACCATGCTACTGAAAACTTGAAACTTATAAATAAAGAGGCAACAAGTTTGTGGTTTAAAATTAAGTTTTAAAATTTTATTATCTAGCTTGTACTTTAATGAAATTAATGAGTTGTTAATTTCTTGTTTTATCGCAACAGAATGAACACTTTTATTTGGATAAGAACTCTGTATTGACCGGAACACAGATGCAGACGACAGCAATATACACCCCCATTAAAACTGGTAATACAAAAATTTATATAAGTTTATCTGTATATTCAATACCACAATGTAAATGTATAGTTTCTAAAATTCTCGCAACCATATTGCAATTGTTTGGAATCACAGTGAAAATAAGAGCTCACTAATTTCAAAACATTGCCAGATTTACAAGTTTTTACTTATTTTAGTGATCCTAAGAGATTTTTCTCAAAGAATATAACAACCTTATCATATAAACGGGTTTTTAACTGTTTACACAAAATACAAATTAAACTTTGCATTGATTTGTGTTTTCTGGCTAAATTTATTAAAATACCTAATTTTATGGCATTTAAACAAACTAACAGCTCCCTTACAAATGTGTGTAGAATATCAAGGGGGTCATAACCCAGTTTATAGCTATGAAAAATATCCCATGCTTATACAACTTTATGCCACACCAATTTAAATTTTAGTTTTTCAGATCAATTATGAAAAATGTGCTTCCTACTTCTTGAAAATTTAGAAACATTATTCATTTCCCTGTTCTTCTCCAAATGTTAACAAAAATCAAATTGGTTTGGCCTTGTGGTAAAACTGTACAATGATTATAAAAAGTGAAAAATGCACAATGAAATCATGAAAGATAAGAACATCTTCTAATTGTATTTATTTAGATTTATAGACAGTGTGGAATATAATACTTTTGTACTGACAAAAGAAATTACAGTTAATCCTCATTTTAAGGTTCTTTGCTTTGCATTTAAGGTGTATTTCAGAAAAGGTGCTGGTCAATATAGCTCCAGCTGCAAATTATAGTGTTGTTGTTGTTAGTTGTATTTTACGTCCGCTTCCACCGAGGTGATATCGCAGACATAGTGAAACCCTTCAGTCTAATATATAAGCTACATGTTATAATAAAGCCTAAGTGAATAATTTAATAGAATTTATCTTTCATGGAGAGTTTATGGTTAAGATCTGTTTATAAAAAACCTAAGAAGTGTTAACCTTCTAAGTCTCTGATTTTGCGCTTTGGTTTATGAGACCTACAGTGCAAAGTCCACAGTCAAGGGTTAACAGTAAAGTTTTAAGAATTCTTTTTAGCAGAATAGAATTTCTTTTAGGACATAGCCCATTTTGATATACCAATTATTTTTTACTGGAGATTTGTATTTTGGCATTGTTATTAAAATTGTGACAATTTAGTTTTGTTTTTTAATTTTTTAAAACTACACTTAATTTTAACCTAACCTATTAGTACAGCCATATTGGGAAAAATTCTAATAGTGTCAGCCAATCATACTCCAACTGTAAACCCATTGCTTATATATTTGGTTTTTAAAATGATTATACAGTGCAGCCCTGCATACCAATACGAGTGACTTGATTGATCAATATGTCAAATATCAATGTAACAGAACATCAAAATTAAAAAGAAACATAATTGAATTCTCAGTCAATGAAAAGACAATACACAAGTTTTTATGGATAAGACCCAGGTGTTATATAACATTTGATGAAGCTGTGAATTTTTGAAAGTCAAATCAAATTGTGTCATTAGAGTAGAAGAACAATAAAAGCAAAGCAATAACTTGAATCCACAACAAAAATATATCATATAATATATAGATGCTGATTTGTATTGAATGCATGAAAAATCTTTATCAAATGTACTCTAATATTAACAAATGATGTGACAGTACTTCTAGTACAGGAATAAAAAAAGCTGCTATTGCCCAAATCTACTACAAAAATGCAAATATAAAAGCAGTTTAACAACATTAAAACAAGATTATGATATAATTAATAACAAACACAATATTATAAACTTAACTTATAAAAAAATTAAATCAAACTTAAACAATTAATCAGATTTCAGTAATTTCAGGATTGGTTTCATTATATACTCTTCAAAAAAAGTAGGGGAAATGCACTGCTGTTTTTATTAGAGGTAACCAGTGTATGTTAATAATAGGCCAATTGCCTACACATGAACATAAACAGTTCATATGGGCGGCTTATCTGACGGCCTCATTTCACTCACAAAGAGATACACTGTCAAAAGTGAAAATGGACGTCTTTGATTTTTGTCTCAATAATGGGTAATTGTTCCACCAATCCTCAGACATTCAGCAATTCGTCATGGCATGCTTAAAATCAACAGTCCAATCACGATTTCGGGCAATCTGACCCACTCCTCTTGCAGTGCCACGGCCAATTCTTGCAGTGTTGTCGGTTGTCAGTTGACGTCGACGAACAGGTCTCCGGATCAAATTAAACGTAATACACTAAAGCAAAGATACGCTAAACAGTAAATCTTATGCAAGAACCGATAGGAAAGCAAACATGGATAGGATAAACCAGCAAGCAGCAGTTTTCATCAACCCTTCCTTGAAGTGTCAAATTTGACAATGAACCCACGTGTATGGCGCTATTGCGTTTCGCATGTGCAGCTCAGTGGTTCTGTTGGGGCGATATGTTCTTCATCTGTGAACATACTCTCAAAGCATGTCAAGTGTCAATGACTATTTATCATATCACAACCTGCATAGGTATTTGCATTTCAATATCCCCTACTTTTTTTTTGAAGAGTATAGTATGGTTGTTTAAAGGAGAAATCCCAGATTTCACAACATATTATATGTATCGGTAAAAGTTGTTTTAAATGCATAAATCATTGACAAAAATACCAAGAATGTTTCTTCTGTGGACAAAAGCTAGATCTGGGTTGGGACTGAGTTTAACTGACAAGATAGCCAAACTGTTTGCATTTGGAACTGTAAATGACGAACAAAATGATTCTGTAATTTTCTGGGTGTAAGAGAAATATACACTGACCTGGCTCATCTCATTCAGCATTTATTCCATTCCTTGTATATTAATTACTCAGGTTAAAATTAAAGATTTATTTAATGTCTAGCTTACCCAGACCATAATTGCTTTTGCTACAAACAGTATTGTTTATATATGCAGCATATATAAGAACACTGGTGCCAATAAATTTCCTGTTTTAGTATTTTTTTGAAAAACCATCTAAGAGTTTCAGATCGTGAATACAAAGTAAATAAATCCACCAGTTTGTCCACACACTTCAAAACAGACCTTTCAATTATTTTAAATTCAGCCTTAAAAATAGACTAAAATATTGTTATTAGTAATGGACTCTTATTCAATTATTAGTAATAATGGACTCTTATTCAATTATTAGTAATAATGGACTCTTATTTAATTAGTAATAATGGACTCTCATTTTTAATTAGTAATAATGGACTTATATTCAATTATTAGTAATAATGAACTCATATTCAACTATTAGAAACAATGAACTCTAATCAATTCATAGTAATAGGGCCCTATAAACATTTATAAATATGTTAGTTATATCTTAAATGGCCATTATATGACAATGCTCATAAAAACACAAAAATCAACAATCAGATTACATTTATACAATAAAAGAATAATGTACTCATAATACAAGGCAGTAGAATGAAAGGAGAAGAAGCTCCATCACCATCTTTTTAGTTCTCATTTAGGGGCATTTTCATGACATTCAGTATCTAAATGATGTTCGATTGAAGGACTTCATGAAAATATTTATCATTAAATAATAATATATTTGGTTTATTTTAAATAGTAATTTCAATGGGAACGCATAAAATAGTCCTAAATTGAATTCTTCCATACGTCCCAATGAACAAGCTCACTAAAATTTTAAAAAATCATTTGAGAATATTGTCCTGTAATTTGAATTAAGATCAGACCTTCTTACTGATGGCAATATAATTAACATTTGAATCAAATGATTTGATGTAGATTTATCAGAATCATCCTTAAAGACTGCTCGTCATTTAAATTTTTCAGACAAATTCTAACATGTTTTGTAATGGGTAATTCTGTCATCGCCAACAAATATGTCCTTTTAATGCTATAAATACTCTTTCAAACAAAAATTTAGAGATGTGAAAAAAAACCCAACCCAACCCAGAAGGAGAAATAATGTATACATTGGATCAGAGCTTCTACTGCCTTCATTTACTCCCCGATTAACATCATAGAGTTATTTATCTCAATTTCAGAAATCACACAATCAGCACAAATTTCTTCTCGCAAAAACTTAACAGCTAGAACAAACAGGTATAAAAACATCTTTCATTAATTTAATTAATTGATAATAATATTATAAACACACAATACACTCAAGTTTTATTACATTGAACAATATATTAAAATTGTATATAAAAAGCCAGAAACCTTCTTTTATTCACTAAATCTAAATTATTTTAAGAATACATGTACTTTCATTTGATTGGTCCAAAATCTGTTTCAGCCAATAAAAAGACAGTATTTTTAAAATAACCAAGTTCATTATTATAATTTTTTTTTTAATTCAGCCTCTTGTGAACAGTGTAAAAACATATAATAGTATAGTCAATAGAATCTAAAGCACTTACTATATGTACACATTGGCCAACATTCACAAAAGATCACTTCCAACCCCAAAAGCACAATTTTTTTCCGTGAAAATTTATTGTATAGTGAAAAACACACACCATGAAGCAATTGTATGATAAAAATAAGCATGAATGATTCTCTTGGAATCATTACTGTATCTATTCTGTGGTAACTATTTCATTAATAGCACATCTTCACATAAATTTAAGTCCATATGACGAATTGAATGATAATGCAATAAAAAAAAAAGACAACCAGTGGATAGACAGAATTTAAAGAAACGATCCCCTTTTAGTAAAAGTTGAAAACTCTACTGTAGCTCCTCTTCTTAAAATTCTTATCTTATTCTTTTCTTTCTAATTACCACCACAACACAGATTCCAAAAATTTGACAAAGCAGCAATAAAGTCTCTCTTCTCAGGTATAATTGCCAATCCTAACCTGTGACTGGTTTGAAAATGGTCCAGCCACATTCCGGAATACTCTTATTTTCTTCTACAACACTGACACCTTCTGGGTGTTTTTCATGAAAATTCAGGATCAATATTTGAACTTGAGCGACATCACAAATCATTTCCAAATGAACTTGATCAGAAACATCACAAATCATTCGAACAGGAAGTGATGACTGACATGTATTTGACATTTCTGCAGAAAAATATCATCTTATAAATTGATCATATCCCCCCATAATCATGCTTTGGAGGCAATGGTGGCAAAGGCCCAAAATCATGTTTACCAGGCAATGGCGGCAAAGGCCCATAGTCATGTTTCACATCTAAATTTGCTGAATATTCATGTTTCGTATCCATTTCCCATGCCCAGTTTCTGTTCAACATGGTAACACCTGCTAACTGTGCCTCATTTTCTGAATGTTTAGTCATGTGACGTACTAACGAACATTTATTGGTGAATGATTGAGCACAAACATCGCACATGAATGGTTTTTCTCCGCTGTGTTGTCGACTGTGGGTTGTCAAATTACTTTGCTGCGAGAAAGATTTGTCGCAGAATTCACATTTGTATGGTTTTTCACCCGAGTGGATGGTGTAATGACGATCTAATCCTGATCGATGTGAGAAAGCCTTGCCACAAACATCGCACATGTTCTCGCCGCTGTGCTTTTTCTTGTGTTTCACAAAGGTTGATTTCTTCATGAATAACTTCCCGCAAAATGGACAAACATAAGGTTCTTGATTGATGTGGGATTCGAGATGACGGAACAACTTTTCTTCATCGTAAACTTGGTAACCACACTCTTGACAACGGTGTTTTTTGGTTCCTGCGTGTTTATGACCTTTTTGATGAATGGCTAAATGACCTGCGCTGAAGAAGGAGCGATTACATGTAATGCAATCAAATGTCTGTCTCTCTAAATGACTTTTCAAATGAATGGTCAGTCCGCTTTTGAACGCGTAGTCCTTTCCGCAAAATTCACATTTATATTCATGCTTTAATTTATGAGTTTTTTTATGTGCCATATAATCTGATTTAACTTTGAATTCTTCGTCGCAATGAGGACATTTATATTTCTTCTCCCTGTGACTTTTTTCGTGAATCTTCAACTGGCTCTTCAGGTCGAAAAGTTTTGAACAAACTGAGCACATGTATTTATCCTTTTTAGCTGATTTTTTCACCGGAGCGACTCTTTCTATTTTGATATCGCCGTTTAAAATATGGACCTCTTCATGTTTTTCCAAAAAGTTTTCTTCGGTGTACAACTTATCGCAGTACTGACAAGGCAAAGGTTTTTTTTCTGGATACATTTCTTCACAATGACCTAACAGGTGATCTTTCAATTCCTCCTGAACTCTGAAAACTTCTCCACAAACTGGACATCCTGTTGGTTTTATTTTAGTAGTTGGTGGTTTTGGTGGTGTTTTACTTTTGCGACTACTCTTATCTTCTGTCCACTCATCGTTAGACTCATACTTGACACTGAGTGATCGTTTGGAACGTCTCAATGATTCTCTGGCAATGGCATTTTCTTCGTAGCTTATTCTACGCATTGCAGCTTTGCGTTTTGGCCGAGTGGAAATACGGGATGAAGTGCGTGTCCTAACTTTTTCTGCAGATTCTTCGCTATCGTCATAATCTTCGTAATCGGAATTATTGTGGTGCTTCATGTGTTTGAGGAGTAAATGTTCTTTATCAAAAGTTTGCCCACATTCTCCACAGATGTATGGATCTTCTTCATCTTCCTCTTCTATCCATTCCCGCATCTTGGCCTTAGCTTTATTTTTACGAGCTGACCTTCGAACATCTGTGCTAGTGGTATTTGTTTCCTTCTTAATTTCCTTTTTTTCTGCTTCAACTGATTCTTCCTCATTTTTTTCAAGTTCTTCACCAGAGTTATCCGAACTATCATCCTCCTTTTCTGACAATTCATCTTCATCTTCGGATTCAGAGTTATCTGTGCTTTTGGATTTTTTATTCGGAGAACCACCATTTAAATCATGTTCCTTCCTCTTAGAACCATTGCTTTCTCCATCTTGAATTTCCATGTCATCTTTTTCATCAATTTCATCATCCAGGTCATCAGGGACAGATGGACATTTATGGCTGATCAACAATTTTTTCTCAAGAAAAACTTCTTCGCAGTAACCGCAGATAAAATTATGTCCATCATTTTTCTTGCATCCCTCATCTTCACTATTTTCGCCGTCTTTGGTTTCGTCTGCAGAATCATCCATTTTTTCATCAGAGTTACCCTCCTTTGAACTACTGCTCCCTGTGGTATCTAATTCTTCAGTTTCTTCTCTACCAGTTTTTTTTAGTGTCTGTTCATTTTTCTCATCCATTTTCAAGTCCGCTTCAGAAGATGAATTTGGCTTTGTTTCTGGCAGTTTTGTAGCTCCTGTAGGTTGTTCAACGTCTTTATTAACAGAACTAGATCTGCTTTCATCCCCCTTTTCTTTTGTTTTTTCTTCTGCCTCATCACCAATACTTGATTCACTGTGTGGTTTGTCTGACATTCTATCAATTGTACCTTTTACAGTCCCTGCTGTTATTAAATTTGCATCTGATTCTCGTTTCATAGGCTGACCATACCTACTGTCTCTTTTCATGAACGAATCAGTTTTGGGTAGGATACTTGGAAATTCTTCTATTCCTAGATTAGTAGCCATGGAATTTCTAGCCTTTCCTGTCTCTGGATTTAGAGAAATAGGTGACATGCTTTTAGGGTCTTGATTTTGTGTTTTTTCAGATTGAACATTTTGTAAATCTTCTGAATGCTCTGCTGTCATTTTATGAATTCTTGGTCTTTGTGAATCGTACAAAGCTGGATTTTCGTACTCACCGACGTTGTCCGTTTTTCTCAAATCTAACGCATCAGAATCGATAAATCTTGATGTCCGTTTTTCTTCCCTTGGTATCTCCATTCGACTGTCCTCCCTCCCCATTTCAGTTCGACTTTCTCCCCGCATAATTTCTTGCTGGCCATACGCAAAGCCCGGATTATCAGTTGATTGATTATAACCACTCTGCATGTCTCTAAAGCTATTTCCATCAGTTTGAGATTTTGGAGATGACTGGTTGTGAAAATCTACAGTGCTTGGTGGTAAATGAGTATTCCGCAAGTCCATACTTCCCGACGGTGTATTCAGAATTGTTTCCCTTACACCATAGTTCCTATCAGTAGAAGGGACTCCATGATCCATTGGATATCTTTCTTTTGTATAATAGTTTTCTGGACGACCATGTCTGTAGGCTTGAGCAGATAGACCATATTCCTCACTGGGTTGTTCAGAGCTATTATAGACTGGGTTAGTATAATCATAGTACGGTTGTCTATATGGAGAAAGAGTTGGTCTTATCATAAGTGGGTTAATGTCCGGTGGGTTTGGATCGAGCATTGCACGCTGTTGGGGATCAGCCCCGTAACTTGATGGGAAGTGTTGGTAAGGTGGATAACCTGTCGTAGAATAATATGCAGAGTCAGAGGCCTCATATGGAATATTTCCATAGCTACGGTTTTCCCGTGTTGTTGGATATTCATTAGGATCATAAGTCCGCTTTTTGTATAGATTCTGTTCCTCGCCTCTGTCTAGGTCATCGGGGTATGGGGATGGTACAGGTTTATCCATATTGGAAAATCTGAATTCAATTCAACTATTAATCCTTCAAAGAAACCATACCTGAAGAACATATAAAATAAGATAAATAATTTATGAAATTTTTTCTGGATTGGTTGTTTAAATCCTTATACATGTAAGTCTAGACCTCTTTTGATTTGCAATAAAATTGTTTAAATTAAGGGAATCAAAGATAATGTCAAGATTGAGATTTAACGTGTTTGTGTTCAACAGTTGACTGATTCGCCATGAACGAAACTACAATTAAAGGACAATATTGGTGTCTGTCATATTTGATAGAACTGATTAAACACCTTCCAAATATAATTTTAACACTGACAGAGACCATTGCTACGATAGATGCGTTTTGAAGATTTAAAAAAACGGAAGTGACGAACGCAAAAGGAAAACACAAGTTATCCTTCTATATAACTGACTGAAGTGATGAGTGATAGCAGGTACACAGGCAAATTTCTGCCAACTAGTAATTCCTTCAAAGACCAAAATTTGTTATGTGAGGCTGTGAGAGGATATCTGATAATTCAAAAGATAGGTTGCCAGGCAACAAAACATACGCCCACAGCAGCTCAATTGTCCGAGCAACATTAGTTATCGCATATTTTTACTTTTTTCCGTAATGAAACATTTATAATACACTAAAATAATTAAGTAATTATCAGAAAATCATTAGAATTTGTTTGGTTTCTATAAAGTTCTGCCCCATGCTAACGTTTAGTATATAATACATTTAATATCATTGATTTACATGTAGCTGTTCAAGCTATCAAAATTCACTGAAAATCAATATACTGGTTTGTCGCAAGACCTTAAACTCTGCGTATCAATTTGAAATTAATCAGATGATAACTTTAGACTCTAGAGCATCACAAGATTTTTCAAAGTAATCAAGGGCCATAACTTTGGCAGTAATTATTGGAAATCGTGGTAAATCAATAAGATTCTTCGTCTCATGACCTCAAATACTGTGTATAAATTTAATGTTATAAGATATTAACCATGGCCTCTAGAGCGTCCATAAGATTTTTTGAAGTGATCAAGGGCCATAACTCTGGCAGTAATTATCGGAAATCGCTGGAAATCAATATGCTTCTTCGTCTTATGACCTTAAACACTGTGTATAAATTTTAACTTTAGCCTCTAGAGCATCCACAAGATTTTTCAAAGTGATAAAGGGCCATAACTCTGGCAGTAATTATCGGAAATCGCTGAAAATCAATAGGCCTCTTTGTCTCATGGCTTTAAGCACTGTGTATAAATTTAAAGTCAATCAAATTTTAACTTTGCCTCTAGAGAGTCCACAAGATTTTTTGAAGTGATCAAGGGCCATAATTATCAGAAATCGCTGAAAATCAATAGGCTTCTTCTCTCATCCCCTTGTTTTTATTCATTCTACACTTAATAAAAACATGGTAATGCACAGACTTTTTCAAATTTTTCTCATTTTATCTAGTGACAGTCAATTATTCTTTTTGAATTGTTAAATATATCCCCACAGTCTCATATAACAACATTTTGTCTTCGAAGGAATTATTAGTAAGCATAAATTCCATGTGTATCTGTTATCAATTGTCACTTCAGTCAGTTTTATAGAAGGATTACTCTTGTTTTCCTTTTGAAATCATCATAACGCCTCTATCGTAGCAATGATCTAAGTGTTAAAATTATATTTGGAACGTCTTTAACCAGTTCTATCACATACGTGATAATGACTGACAAGAATATTGTCCTTTAAGAAACAAACTGATTTAAACTTAATATTTCAAAATAAAAATTTATTAGTACCAGATTGACCATGTAACATTTCTAAATCAAAATAACACATCAGATTAGATCAATCAATAATCATACATCAATTATGTTGGATAAATGTGTATCTACTAATGTCATTTTGGATTGACAGCCCAAAAATGTAAAGCTGTTGACATTTTAAATTTCACATGGACATGTCTGCTATTTGCAAACAAAAGGATTTACAACCTTGCTACCAAAACCAACATAATGAACCTACACGATATACCCATAAGGGTCGTTTGTCTAAAATTTAGTGACATCTTGTAATGAGAAAGTGAACAGTCTACAGTGACAGTGGGAGAATGGCCAAATGGTCTAATGTGTGCTTTAGATCATCATAAAATCTGTCACTGAGTCAGTTGCACCCTGATTTTGACAACAGGCTTGTACTGAACAAGGAGTAGGGTTGTCTGCCTGACCTAGATAGGTCTTCTCTGAGTGCTTAACTTCCGCCCCTGCAGGTACATGTAAATATCCCTGTGCGAAAGTGATTTATTGAAATAAAGATAAGCTTACACTATGTGTTATTTCAAAATGCTCTGGTTGTAAATGTGCGAATTTCCTCAAACCCAATACCTACATGTATGTACAGATAACTGAATACAAATATTGCTTTTATACATAAAAAAAAGTCACCTGCTAAAATTCATTGCACTCTTGCAGCAGAGATCTACTCTGCATGTTTAGTCATAGTCACATACTGACATAGTATGGGACCAACCAAGTCAGATTCTGAAACCAAATTTGTTGTCAAATCTTTTAACATTAATTTTCATAGTTTATAAATTTATTGTAAATAAATCCATTAATAAATCAATTTTGCATTCATAGCCCTAATAGTTACACAAAATGGTCAAGTGGTTTACTGCATGCAAAGAATGGTGAAGGTGCATTGCCTGAAGTTGGCTCTCCTTACACTTTTGCAGAAGGATTGTATACTAACTGTGTCGCTGTCGGCGTCAAATAGGCCTAACTTTCTTTTTTTTTTTTTCAGTCCGTTCAGAGATAATTGAACTTTGCTTCTCTTTGTTCAAAAAGACATAGTTCCATGACAAGTACTTTATTTTATAGATAAAATCATGAAATAAAACAAAATACTATTAAATACTTACTAAATTATTCATTTAAATGCTTTTATTCGACTAAATACCTAAAATTTCATTATTCTTATCTCTGTTAATAAACCGGAAGAGGAAATCGACTTGTCACGTCAAGGGCAGATAACTCCCAGGTTTGTTTACATTTTGATTTCAACTCCAGTAAAATAACATTTTAGTAAAAGATAAAACGATCTTATTGTGGTAGTAGTCATTTAAAATGACTGACAGCTTTCTTTATAAACGCATGCCCTGCTATTACGGTTGATAAATAGGTGATTGTGGCAATGTAATGAAGTATTTAAAAGGAAAACTACACGTCAGGAGGCCTAATTTCTAAACAATTGAATTAGTCAACGTAGGGCCAACTACTACTAGCCTACTAGGCCAGGCGCAGTACGTTGATCCGGCTACTTAGGATTAGGGTTAGGGTTAGCAGTGGAAGTCAAAAGTAGCCGGGTCAACGTACAAGCCCAACAATTATTACAAATATAACTAATAGGATAGGCTAATGGCAATGCTAAAAAACATATAAATTTCTGAATTGACGGAATTGCAATCAAGTATCATTGAATCCAGTAATTTATGTCAGTCGCGAAAACAGAGTTGTGATAAAATTAATCGTTTTAACCAGGCTAGTCATGATGTATAGGCTCTAGTGATCAGTCAAGACATAGTAATAAATACAGTTGGTGCTACTCAACCAGGATGCTAAACGTACACTTACACACTATGTACAATAAACCAATTGAATTCACCCACCCACCCACCCCCACCCAAAAAATGGCATGCAGAACCAAAAATAATTTTTGGAGATGCCGTTTATTAAATCCATCTTTCCTCCTAGATAATGTCAGCATTCCAGAATTCATATTTTTACAGATATGTGATCTGATTTTGTATTTTTATACATTTTTACAGATCTAGTGTAGGTATGACAGATTCGGGTCATCTTCCTACACCAGACATTAGTCACCTAACCTCAACAGATTACTTGAAAATTTATGAACCAGCAGAAGATTCATTTCTATTAATAGACGCTCTAGAAAAAGATGTCAAGTTTCTCAACCAACTGAGGTAAGAATTCTAGCAAATACATTAAATATGACATCTTCCTGGCAAAACAAAAGCATCTGTAATGACATGAGAGAGATACAGAGACAGAGAGAGGGAGAAATGGGGTTTAACATCCACTCGACACACACTAAATCATTTTGGGACTAAGATAATGGTTCAATTTTATTTCAATAATCTGCTTGTGTGTAGGGGTCTTTAGCAGTGGGAGGAAACCGGAGGACCCAGAGAAAACTCACAAGGTTGGACAAGGCGACCCTACTCCTTGTCACATGCAAGCTAGGAATCAAAACCTTGCCACTTGACTCAATGACAGACCTTATGATACAACGCGCATGTGTTAATCATTTTCGAACACACCATTCCCCTTAATTACCTATGCTGGTTATATATATAATATATATTATAGTATGAAATATAAAAATAACATTGATTTTCTTCTACATGTTTCAATATAATTTCTACAGGGATGCAGGACAGAGGGCCAGGCAAGGGGTAACGTACAGTCATTCAGATGGGACGAAAAAATGAGGTTCCATGTACACATTGGAGTTCGCGTAAAAGATCCCTTGGCAGTTGGAATTCGATATGATAGTAGGCCATAGTGCCGCTGTCTGGGCAAAATTTCCTTTATAGCATATGCACATCTTTATTAGCTGAGTCTGAACAGAACAATATGACATTAAACCCTATTCATACTTACACTGTCCATGTATTGTCTGTGTAATGTGTCTTGTCTGTGGGTTTGTCTTCTTTTTGTGTGTGATGAAGTTCTCCTGAGCTTTTTGTAAATTGTCTTGCAGGCCATCTGTATGTCTAGAAGTTGGATGTGGAACTGGTTTATGTTTAACATTTCTCGCTCAGATTCTTCAAACTAAAGCTTTATTCATGTAAGTTTTCAAAGATGTAAACTGTGTGTATTGTTGCAGAAATTCAGTTGACCGCTTAACCCTTTTAGCAATTTAAACCGCTAAAATACTGCTTACTCTAGTGCTTCAAACCATCGACTCACGTGATTAGCTGTAAAGTATTAATGATTATGTGACTCGGGTAGTTTGCGACGATATAGGGAGCAGTAGGTTTGGGTGTATTTTTTTTTCAAATAAGCTACACAACTCAATGTGAAAAGATCACTTTACTAATTTCTTCAGGTAACTGTGGTAGTTAATAGTTACTGGGTGCCAAAGGGTCAATTTAAAGTTAAACCCTTTTTCATTTTTTAAAAAAAATCTAAGGGATGGGGTCCGATGGACAAAAGTAATTTTGTTTAAATTTAGAATCCTTCAATCTATCTTGAGCGTTTAGGGTAATGGACTATTGACTAGAATGTCATATGTTGAATTCCAATGGAAAACGAGGAAAACATCTGGAGTTCTCAAACCCGGCCTTCGCTTGAAAAGTTTACATAGTCATTTGGAAAGTCCAAAAACCAAGGTGTACTAGAACAATGCATCTAGTTGTCTTGAGTTCTGTGTATTTACTGGCAGTGGTTATTAAAGGTGCGGGGGGGGGGGGGGTTGGATGGCCGCTGTATCATAAAGCCTGTCATTGAGTCAACTGGCGTGGTTTCGAATCCCCGGTTGTACGTGACAAGGAGTAGGGTCGCCTGTCCAACCTCAGGCATATTATTGAAATAAAGTTAAACCATATGTTAGTCCCAAAATGATCTAGTTTGTGTCGAGTGGACATTAAACCCCATTTCTCTCTCTCTCTCTCTCTCTATTAAAGGTGCCTTAAACATACATTATGCAAAAGCAAAATCTGATTATTGCAAGTCTTTATTTAGGCTTCAGATGTCATAGAAATTATAAATTAGATCTTTATTTACACAACAAGCACAAAATCAACTCTGTAGACCCACGGATGGCTTGGATTCGGCTTGGATTTAAACAGGATTTTGTTGATTGATTAAATTTTTAAATGGCGTCGTAATCGGAGATTGACCGTTACGTTGATGTCATACTCCCGGAAATAATTTTAGATCAAGGCTTAATGATTAATTGTACGAAGCGAGGCCGCTGTTGAGCGAGACCGCATGTCAGTCCATTTGATTGAAAGTTCGATATACATGTATACGGCCTTGATATTATGTTTAGTTGTGGTTAAAATGAGAGTTTGGATGTCGGTATTATAGGCTACGCTCTTTTGTCACTTGCGTTTATAGAAAAATTATAGAAATTGATAAAGTTGAATTGCAGCTCCATTGGATCACTGTTCGGGAGTTACGCAGGCCTACCAGTTACAGTACAAGAGTACACACAGGCTAACAAGAAGTCGGCTATAATTATGCCTCATTGATTTGGTCCATGCCTTTCAAACTTTCGCTTCTTATCTATATATTAAAAGTCTTATTTTTAATTTGTAGTAAAAATAATACGAATTGAATTGCAACCCCGTCTCAAACCACAGCCATTGAAAACGTTACTTGATAATCGAGATTATGTAGGTGGGGTTAACGCCTGTCAATCAAACGATCAGCCATTCTTGGAGACGGTGAAGAGATAGTTGACTCCCATTTCTAGTCAAAAATTACAATAGTGATAAAGTAATTTGACTGAAATTTTCAATATATTCTTCTTTCATCATCTTTTTTTGAACTGTTATTGCAAGAATGGCCAACTCTCTATTAAAATCTCCCATAATGTATCTTTAATAAACAAAGTTTTAACTAAATTGAAGTTCAGTAGGATGAATCACCACTCCTTGGGCAAAATTCCCCCCCCCCCCCCGATCCCCTCTCCCCTAACATTTTCTTAAAGTTTAAATATGAATAAACCACAAAATCTCTATAACTCTTTGTATTTCAGAGCTACAGACATCAATCCATCTGCTGTAGATATATGTCAGAAAACAGCTCAACAAAACAACATTTCAATACAACCTATATTGACAGATTTAGTGAGTATTCAAGAAAAAGTTGCAGTTTTCACACGATCAACTGGAAAGAAAAGTTTCCTTAACAATGCATTATATAAGATTTAGATAAAGAGTTGGCCGTTCTTGCTATAATAGTTTAAAAATAGATAATTAAAAGTGAATATATTGAAAATTTCAGTCAAGTTACTTTATTCTGAGCAAAGTTATAAATATGTGAAGTTTTGATAAGTTAGGCCAAATAGTCTTGATTGTCAAGTACCATTGCTGTTATAATAAACAAAGTCTTGATTAGCCATTTTAATGTTAAATTATTAGATGGCACAAGTTTTCTATCCAGTTTACTATCTCAGCCATCTGATAACCTAAAGAGTTAATTATGGGCATGTCAGGCAAATAATAATTTATATATATATATATATATAGAGAGAGAAATGGGGTTTAACGTCCACTCGACACAAACTAGGTAATTTCGGGACTAACACATGGTTCAATTTTATTTCAATAATTCGCTTGTGCGTAGGTGTCTTTAGCAGTGCGAAGAAACCGGAGGACCCGGAGAAAACCCACGAGGTTGGACAGACGACCCTACTCCTTGTCACGTACAACTGGGGAATCGAAACCCCGCCAGTTGACTCCATGACAGACCGTATGATACAGCGCAGCGCGCACGTGCTAACCATTCGGCCATCCATAATTTATATAACATTTAATGCCAGAAAAAGGACCTGCAATGTGAAGCTTTAACTCTTACATTATAATGCACCTTTAAGCATTCAAATTGAATTTCAAAATGTGAATAAATAACCTGTTTACCGTGACTCAATATATTTAGCTGTTTGGAAATGAACACCAAAACAGTTTACAGTGGTTACATAACTCTTTTAGAGCGGTCACCTTCAATTTATTATTGATCTGATAAACATGGTCAGTTGATACCATTTGTAAACTTTGTCAAGTGATGAAAACCCAGTAAGAAATAAGTTTTGTCTCCCTTTAATCAAGAACAAGAAAGATCCAGGACAACCATCTTTTGTTTTGATTTTGTTAATATCACATGATACAGATTTCACTGAATGAACTATTATGTCCAAATTGAGGTGAGACTATTTTAATTAGTCAGTAAGCATTGTCTGCCTAGGTCTGGGGGATTGGGTGGTCGAATGGTCAAATGCGTGCACATTAGATCATGCGATCTGTCGTTGAGTTAAATGGTGTGGTTCCGATTCCCAGCTTGTACGTGACAAGGAGTACGGTCATCTGTCTAATCTCCGGTTTCCTGACTCTACTACAGACCCCTACACGCCACTGAATTTTTGAAAGAAAATTGAACCATATGTTAGTCTTAGAATGTGTTGAGTGGATACTAAACCCCATTTCTTACTGTCTCTGTGTGAGTGGGTAACACAAAACCTGAAGTCTACCATAACAGACCCTTTCCTCCCATAACTGAAGAAAACAATTTATCACAATATATTTAAGTTTCCAAATGACCAGAGTATTGGGTTGACAAGATGTTAAACCCCATTCTATTTGGATTCACCATTGAAGAATGAATGAACAACCTAGAGGTATTTGTTCGAAGCACCAAACCAAAAATGTGTAGCAATTTATAACAATATTACATATTTTGGCGGATGTGGTTGCCCACACAACAACTATATTTAGCATTTCTCATTGATGTCTCTTCTTTATAACACAATCAATTTTAAATAGTTTTATGTTCTGATTTCATTATAGGTAAGCTGTTTGAGTGATAGACTAGAACATCAAGTTGATGTATTGTTGTTTAATCCTCCATATGTAGTCACATCATCCAGTGAGGTAAACTCAGCAAATACAACTTGTTAATTTCCTTGGCTTTGACCATAAAACTTCCCACCATATTAATTAGCATGTAAAATCCATGCTTCTCGCACAAAGTCAGTTTATAAAACATAGAAACTATTTTATAGGCCTAGACAATATTGGGGACGATTTTTAAAAAAACAAACAATATGTTGCATCCATGGACCACATTCTTTTTGATATAAGAGATATTAGCCGATGAAATGATCTAATTAGCTGAGCTTTAGGTGAGGTGTGCACTGAATTATGGGAGTCATCTGTAGAGAATACAAGAAAAACAAAGTTTAATATAAATAGTTTGTCATTCGGTCATGGTTGGAATTATGAGACCCTGACAAGACCTTGCTTGCAAATCGAACAGGTCTTTATAATGGGGATGAATCCATCAAAATGTTAAAAAAATTGAAATTAACATCTGTATTTTAAAACATCAAATATTTCTCTATATAGCTGTACCAATCTTTAAAGACACTTGATACACCTGGGTTTGGGCTGTATCTTTTTGTCAGAACCTTTAAAAATAGATTACTAATATTGGAAAATATTGAGTATTTTTCATTGAAGAAGACAAATTTTATTTTTGTGGTGGAGAATTTGAGATTCTTTGTGATCATTTAAAAGAATTCTTTACATTTTATTGTTTGTTTCTAGGTTGGTAGCCATGGTATTGAGGCATCATGGGCAGGTGGGGTTGAAGGTCGTGAAGTAACTGATAGGTTATTACCATATATAGATAAAGTTTTATCAAAGACCGGTGTATTTTATTTGGTGATTGTTAAAGAAAATCTACCAGGTAAATGAATTAATACAGTTGATGAAATCATGGTATTTGATTTTTTGTTTCAGTATTTGTGCCCTAAGAGAGCAATCATTTTTCCAGGGATACTTATTCAGTCATATTTGCAAGTCTTGACTAACTGGCAATGAAATTGAGTTGTCTGGAGAAGTTAACCTCTCAGTAAATTTTCAGTAAAATTAGAATTTCAAATAACTTCACCATAAAACATCATAAACACAGTTAAATTTAGAGTTTTTATGAACAATATGTTAAAAACTTGGCAAATAAGTTAAAATTGGACTGTCTAGCAAAATGTTGAAGTGAAAGCCCAGGTTTATTAATTCAATCTGCAAGGGATAGTTTGGTCTAATATATCTAACTACTATAAAAATATTACATATCAGATTACATATAGACAGCAAATACTACCGAGTGCAGTTTTATTGTCTTTTTTTGGTGATGCCACATATAATAACAATATGAGGAACCTTTTTTAGCCATACTTAGAATAAAATATTTGAATAATTCAGAATTTTCATTGACTGAGAATTCAACTCATAGTAGAAATTTTAGCTTTCTTAATACATTTTAGTTTATGATTTTGCAGAAAGCCTAATCTATAGATATGTTTGATGGCCACAAATTCAGATCAGATCAGATCGAGAATCCATTCTGTTTGTCTCTGAAATGTTTTCAAATCTAAATAATCGAGATGATCCAAGATGGCACTGATACACAAGTCTGATACTCCAAAGCTTTTTGGGGGGGGGGTGGGGGGGGGGAGTACATGCGCACTGTAGCATAAGGTCTGTCATTAAATCAATTGGCATGTACGTGACAAGGAGTAGGGTTCTCTGGTTTCCTCCCACTGCTAAAGACCCCTACACACAAGCGAATTATTGAAATAAAATTAACCATATGTTATTCCCGAAATGACCTGGTTTGTGTCGAGTAGACGTTAAACCCCATTTCTCTGTTTCTCTTTTTTGATTTTGACTTGAATTTGAATAAGAATCTTATTATTTCCACTCCTGATATAGTAGCCATTGTAGTCTTTGTCTTCCAGGGGGGTTGGGTGGCCGAATGGTTTGCACGTGCGTGTTGTATCATACAGCCTGTCATTGAGTCAACTGGCGTGGTTTCGAATCCCTAGTTGTACGTGACAAGGAGTAGGGTCGCCTGTCAAACCTCGTGGGTTTTCTCCGGGTCCTCCGGTTTCCTCCCCTGCTAAAGTCCCCTACCCGCAAGCGAATTAATGAAATAAAATTGAACAATATGTTAGTCCCGAAATGACCTAGTTTGTGTCGAGTTGACGTTAAACCCCATATCTCTCTCTCTCTCTCTCTCTCTCTCTTTGTCTTCCAGGTTGTTATTATTGATATATCTATAATGTATTTTTCAGATGAAATAAAAGACATTTTGGGACGTGATAAATTCCAGTGTGATGTCATTATAACACGTAAATCAGGACCAGAACATCTTTCTATATTACGATTTAAAAGACGACATTCTGGTTGCAACAGTTGATATAAAATTAAAGCTTGTTCAGGATAAATATAGTTGTGTTTGTGCAAGCCTGATGAACTTAAAGCTATATGTCCTTGACACTCAAGATCCTAAACCCATAATATATTCAAACTACAGGGGAAAATATATTTGATGCCAAACTTACGAGAAAGTTTGAATCAGGAACATATTAAATACTGTTATACAAATATTAAATCAGGTGCCATTTCAGTTATATGATAATTAATGGATGCATACTCTAGCCCACAGTAACATTAGCACTCATTCATAAACAAACGGCCAAAAGTTGTTGACATTGTGTAATATTAGCCTGTTCCTGGCTTGTAGACTATTAGAGTCCGTAATATGTGCCCAAAGGACTGGATGAGAATATTTTTTTAAGAATAGAGTTAGCTACCGCCTCTAATTCGAGACAATCTGTTTTGGTTTCTATCTCTAAGGTTCAAGATTCAAATTTATGATCGTGCATGTAATGTTCTGTGTTATGTAAAGAAGTGTTTAGTGCCATAGAAGTGATGTCACACTACGGTTCCTAATTAAGGTCTCACTGCATATTTCACACATTCTGAAAAGTGCCAATATTGACATATTTTAAATGACATAACCAAACCTGTGAAATATACATTTTGAGAAATGGAGGTGTGTCAGACAGTGTCCCGGTGGTCTAATGTGTGATTAGATCTTAAAGGAGATGGTCCATCTGTTTCTTTATACTAAGACTGATGACATTCGCATTGCTACCAGATCTTTCTATATAATATGGCAACCCAATCTTAAAAATGGTGTATTTTAGAAAAACAGAAAAATTTATTCCTTAAAATTAACTTTTGAACATGTTTTTGCCCCTATAATTGAGAATATTTATTTCTGATTCTAGTACGCAGCTGTCGTTGTTACCTATCGATGTTGTTAAAATATAGAAAAAGGTGGAACATCTCCTTTAACTTGATATTACATTTGTTTACCACCTAGTAAGTAAAATCATCATCATGAATAAACCCTTTCATTATTTTTTTTTAGAATATATTTTATTGATACAATAATTGTCCCCACGATCATGGTTCAGATGCCTAAAAAAATATCCTTGAAGTTGCTAATACTTTCTTGGGTATGTATAATTAGTAAATCTGAAAAAAAAGTAAATACATGTATACAGAATGGCACCAATTACAAGACTGTAAAGATTTTCTAGTCGAAATGTCCCTTTAAATTATTTCAAGGAGACTTTAACCTTATAATATAAGCCATTACATAGGATGGTTTAATTAATTAATTCTATGTAATTGTTAACAAAGCTAATTATTTTTCATTGATTAACCAATATGCACCTGGTGCACAGAACATTCATTTATAGAAAATTCTATAATAATATTGAACTTGTAAATATAATACAGTATGGTTGGTATCTAAATATGGAGAGAGATTAAACATCCACTCCACACAGACTGGGTTATTTTGGGACGAAAATAATGTATGGTAGACTTTTTCTTTATATATTTTGAATAATTCATATGTGCGCAGGAGAAAAAGCCACACGGTAGTAAGGTACTGATACTGATGTAAACCACACACCTGAATTAATAACAGACCTTATGATCTTTTTAAAACATGGCATCATGTACCGACACAAAATCAAAGCGTCAAATTAAAGAGCAGATTTTCTGAGCTAATTTGGCCCCCAACCCTTACTAAAGATGGACAAGCATTGGTCATCCCTGATATGCAGAAATCAGACAATGTCATGTAAAGATATTATAATATAGATGATGGGATTTAATGTTTTTCAATACAATGTTTCAGTCATTTTGAGATAAATGTTGAACAAAAACCTTGTGGACGCTAACATTATTTGATTGAGTCAATAGTTATGTCTTCAGCGTAATTACCAGAACCTTATCTTAGTATTGTTTTTTAAAAAACCCCAAAAAAACTCGTTTATATCTTAGTGCATGCTGCTACACACAGAAGATTATTTTCTTGTTTCAAGACCCTTTCCATATCTTAAATTATTTCTCATATAATGAACCTTCCAAATTTTTCCCGATACCGAAAACGGAAAACAGACATTAAAATTCAAACATATTGTTATTTTTTTTTTTTTTTTAATCATGAATTAATTTTCGTTTCATTTCAGAGCGTTATGATCGAGTCAATCAAATGTCGGCAAGAATTTACAATTAGTACTTTTCATTATACGCACATATTAGCAGTCGCTACAATTGCTCCTTCGTCGGTTGCTTGAGGAAGCATGAACAGCCCACCCCACTAAATTTCTAAGAAATATAACATAATATAATTCCTATAGACTCGAATTGTTAATCAATATAAAAACAAATTAATAAGAATCATGCAAATAGTTGTCAATCATTTTCCAAAAAGCTCAGATACCCGACAAATTTCTTTGCAATTTATTGCCTTCATTTCACCATACATCAGTCTGTGGGAATAAAATGTCAATTGATGATTATGTTGAGAAACGGAATTAATTTGTTTAGCGAGATGCTAAAATGCCATGCACTTGAAAGAAATATATTGGTTTGAAGTTTGAGAGAGGATGATTAATGGTCGTACATTCAAACACAATTAACTCATTTCTTCATAAAAAATATCGAAATTTATCGACGTTTGAAAAGTCGGGAAAGCACTCAACACCAATACATCGACCATGCTTCTACCAGATACATGCAGCGCGAAAAATTTAAGATCCCACGGTCATACCCAGATAGATGCGCCTGAATAGAAAGTAAGGTTATATTATCAACCAAGGAAACACTTGCCAACGAACAGCTTCGTTGTCCTAGCCGTTTTTATCAAACGAACTAAACAACAAATTCCAGAAACATTGGCTTCCACACCGAGTGTTATCAGCCCATTAACCAGTGTTGCGCTTACTACGGCGAAGTAGTGTTTCAGCATTTGTTATCTCCGCCCCCAACTGAGATTGACCCCCTACGCCTATGTACCCAGTGCCATTATGAATTGAAATAGTCGCCTCAAGATTTGGACTGGCAATTTCTTTGCTACTTTTTTGCAATTACCAGACTAATGAAGACGGGCGTACGCTATGCAGTGTACTATGGGGGAGATTCTGCCGCGGAATCGGCCATATCTGTTATTTTGTTATCCAACTGTCAGTGGTTTTGTAGAAATTTAAGATGCTAACAACAAAATTTTAATTCAAACAATGAAAATCATCTGTATACTCAATAGTACCAACAGTGAGGCTGATGTCAACCTCCTTAATCCCCGCAAAATAGATGACACTCATACAGCATCTTAGCAATCGAATTGTTGATCTCTTTGCTTCATCTAAAGAGAAAATGCTAATTATCGGACTTAAATTGATCACCTCCAACTAAAATAGAGTCGTTATGTTCCAAAAGGTGTAAGGCACAGATGGACTCACGGACATCTGTCCAGCCTTAGAAAATACCCATCATCGAACTCTTTCAAGCAATTATCAAAACACAAATAAATCACGTTTGAACATTCTACATCAATTAGAAGCACAGTTGTGTTCCAAACTGTGTGATGCACAGAGGGACAGACGGACAACTGCTTAGCCCACGCAGAAAATGATCCTCGTGGCATTCATTGAACACCAGGTTTGAACATTTTGAAGCCGAGCTATCGTGTCAAAGAAAGACAGACGGACAGGCGTGCGGACCCATTTTAATATTCCCCTGTTATTTTTTCCAAAGCTGGGGGGACTAAAAGGGCTGCTTCTAAATGCCTATTATGGGTCGCGTATATTAATTGCTTGTTGGAATCTATTGTGCTTGGTTTTAATTTAATAAAAGGGGCGCGAGAGTAAATAGTCAGTATACGAGGTATCAGAATTTTGCCCTCATTTTACTCTTCTTCGGTTTCCAACTGTCAAGTTTTATGTTACTTGCAGGCCAATAAGTTAACCGATGTATCCAAATGATTACTCACACTTTCAACACGTGGGTTTGAAATTTCCCGAAGTTTCTTTGTGACTCACTCCAGGGTTCGAACCACGACATTCTAGCAGACACTCCGGTGTCCCGAACACTAGAAATATATGTAAATGTAAAAAAGTTAGGTCGAATGACCAATTCTGCTCAACCACGTTACTTCCTTGGCCTGTGCGACAAAACGTTTACTTATATTTTCGTCGTTTGAAGGTGAATTATGAGAGATAAGATAATGAGTTGACAGTTCTCGAAATAAATTGCTCCAATTTGAACCGAGATATTAGCTTTTGAATTTTAGGCTAGCCTCGATCATCATTATTAAAATCGGTACGATAAAAACAAAAGTCTCGATTATCCATTTTTACGTTTAATTATCCTTCACAAAATGTATTCCAATCCGCTAAATATCACTTGCGATCTAGAGTTGATTATGGTCTGGATAAGTTAATTAATGTCTAATTAATAATTTAGTTAAAATTTCAGGCGTAAAGAAAGACCCGCAATAGACAGATTTTTCTCTTGCATAATGTATGTAATGTAATCAAATTATCGTCAACATCTTTCTGTCGATGTTACGTCAACCCCATGTCTAGACGTTGCTACACTACTTTGCAATTTCCGAACTTATCTCCCTTTTCCACAGATACGTGAACAGTAACGTCCAATCAGAGGTTGTGACACAAACACACTCAAATCAAACATGGCGACCTGCACGGAAACCTTGACGTTGAGCGAACCTGGAACTTTGCAACTCGATTATCATTGGTAGACATTTTAACAGGAAAGCACGAGATGACTGAGGAATCTGATAGGCTCTCAAGCTGGGTCCGTACCCAATCGAAATATGCGGTGTATTACGCGAAGGGCTCGATAAGATGCGTCAACCCATGCTATAATATTTTTGGACATTGAACGCATCTGGTTCTTGTTTTTGTTGCTGTAGATATTTTGGACGAAGAAACTCTAAGGCTCGATCAAAATGAAACTTAGCATGCTTGTTCCTTGGACAATTGTGTATGGATGGACATCACAATGTCGCAATTCCAAAATGGCTGTGATGACGTCATGCTCGGTTCCTGATCCATAGTATTCCCGAACTTATTGACTCACAATGGCGTGCACGTAAGATAACCCTGGGCAGTTTGAAATCGAAGTGTGGGCGGAAACAACTGTCTATACAAAATTCTCATACCTCGCATTTGACACTTAAAGGCTCAATACCACTCTTGTTGTAACTGAATAATATGTCCCAATCTTTATTCTGGTCAACAAATTGTACTATTTTAGAATATTTCAATTAATTGATGATACAAATTTCATCTTAACACACCTTCTTTAAAAATTTTGAAATATTCAACATAATGGTTTGAAACGTCTAACGTAAACATTTTCAAATGAAACTTCGATTTAAAAATATTTTCGAACCCTCTGGACAAGTAAAATAGGATGTAATGGATAATTTACACAACAGGTAGGACACTTAAACATCTAGTACTTAGATAGAGATATTATTTATTTTCTGGAGCTTTTAAGCCAGCAAGAGTGTTATTGTCCCTTTAACCACAGATATAAAAATGAAGACATTAAACCCAATTTTAAACCGCTCATCTCAATTTAATCCGAATACCGCACCTTTAAAATGTTTTCGTGAGCTGTCGGAGTTAATTCCCCAGCAAAGGTAAGGGCAGATCCAGAGACCCTGGATAGGCGGGAGGGGGGGGGGGGGCGCACTTGCCTGGGGATCGTGATCGTGCTTGATTGAGCAGCAGCCGACAACCCAGGTCCAGACGCAACAAGTAATGGTTTAAATCGAAGCTGTCGTTGTACATTACGGATCTGTGATTCGTGTGCCGACCAGTGCACCCTTTGGATCCAGATGAGTGGGGGAGGGCGTGTGCCATGTAAGCTCTGCACTAGATCCGCCCTTGAAAGGCAAATGGATATTTGCAGCTGCTTTAAAAAAAATTCATTCATTCATTCATTCTAATAGGCTTATTTGTAATTCTCCTGTAGTTAATGAATGAAGACTGGAATTATGTGGGAGAACAAGAACACGTACAAGCGGGTCGATTTTTTACACTGTAAATGAGTCGAGCAGCGTAGCTTTATCTGCATCGAGAGAGCTAAGAGAAATCACTGCCTGTAGTTGTCTTGTGTTCAGTCTGTAAACAGTTGTGTTTGGGATGCTGTAATGTAGCATTTATGGAACTTAGTTTAAGCAATAAGCTGAGATTAGATGGAATTTCATATAGAAATCATAAAGGAATTCTGTGAATGAAAGAGTGAGTATCTGTATATATTAATATACTTTTGAACCAATTTTTGACTCTACTATACAAACATGCAGGTATAATATTTCTTTGAAATGTTTGCTTGTAAATCTTTTTGATAATCTTGATCTTTTAAAAAATGTTGTTATAGTAACGGCCGTTAATCTTATAATAAAAAGCAAGAATGAATGGATTTTAATGTCAAATCAGCACCAACGGGGTATATTACGTCAGATAAACCTGACGGATTTTATATTGAAAAATGTGAAACTAAATAAAAATTGAAGTTGGAATATGAATGGAGTTTTAGTTTACCCGGTTGTTATGGGGGGCATAGGATATTGCAAATGAAATGTTTTTTTTTTAACGTCTTACTGTTCTGCTCCGACAGGGCTAATGAAGATGGACATACGCCCTACAGTGTGCTATGAGGGAAATTTTGCCCGGACAGCGGCGTTACGGCTTATATAGAATTCCAACTGCCAAGGAATCTTTTACGTGAACGCCAATGTGTACACGGGACCTCGGTTTTTCGTCCCACCACTGACAAGCGGAAACTACAACGTCAAATCTCGATGAACTTTCTCAGCCAACACCGGGAGCGATGCGCTAAGTGGGTAAGACGCTGGCTCGCTAGCTTGGAGGTCGGGTGTTCGATCCCTGCATTGGCCGAGATAGGTCATCCAGATTTTTTCCAGCGTGGTTTCTCCTTGTCAGCGGTGCAGAACGGCGGGCCTGGCAAGGACAGCTGTCTAGTCCTTCGGATGAGACGAAAAACCGATGTCCCGTGTATACATTGGAATACACGTAAAAGATCCCTTGGCAGTTGGAATTCGATATAAGAGTAGGCGATAGTGCCGCTGCCCGGGCAAAATTTCCCTCATAGCACACTGTATGGGGTATGCCCGTCTTCATTAGCCCAGTATAAGGAGCAGAACAGTTGGACGTTAAACCCCATTTCATTTCATTTCACCTCCGCTAGCGAACCAGTGTCTTATCTACTTAGCCACTGTGAAGAGTCGTATGAATATTTACATATCTCTAATTTAAGTCTGGAGTAATGAAGTGTACGTCAAAGGGCTAGACGACAGACATAATAGTTACATTTTTAATTTACAAAGTGAGATTTCGTATATAAGATCCACCACACGTTAAGGATAATAGAATTATAGCAGCGAAGGGTGTTGTGCAAACATCAGGATTTGCTAACTCTTTCTAGAACATGATATCATTTTCATTGATTATTACAATTTTTGCATTCTTATTTTATTTTCTTCCGACGTATAAAGGCGCGGCGTGGAATCTATCAATCTGATTAAAACACAGATCCAATTTCGTTTCGTTTTTATAGTTCAAAATTTCGATTTTACTTGTCTTTACTACATGTAGTGTAGGCCATCGAAAGTATAAAAAACGAAACGAAATATAGATCTATATTTTAATTAGATTGGGAATCTATTGACAGATATTTCTCTCACACTTGTTAAATAGGCGCTAAATGGTGCTAATGTTAGCTAACAGCTGAGGTTAAAAAAACACCATGGTTAAAACATTCGTAAAATCACTAGAAAGGAAAGAAACTAACAGTTTAAGTAAACTGATCGATAGTATATGACTCTAAACAAGAAAATTAGCTAAATTCCTTTAAAAACACTCTTATATGGTGCATTGATGGGGTGGTTTGGGAAGGAACCTTTGGCAGTGGAATTCCGTAAAGAGTAGGAGGAAGTGCAACTGCTGGACAAAATTTCCCTGATAGCAGACTACAAGGCATATTGCAAACAATACAGAATACTGCAGCAAGACTTGTTACTTTAAAGGAGCTAAATCGCCAATATTTGGGACCTAGAAATTGACACAAATTGGTCGCAACGCATATAATAATATAATATGAGTGTATTTAAACTATATAATCGTTTCCGGTTTTTAATCTAATTTCAAATCAGTTATGTTCGGCGAAACACGCCAGAAGTTTCAATCAAATGGCAATCTCTAGAGACTGGTTATTCCAGTCTACATCGATAGTATTTTATTGTGTATGCTCTCCAGATAAGAATATGCCGTCAACGTTTGGCATGACTTGTGGAATATGTTTAGCCCTCGTTCTTCGGGTCCCTTGTTACAAATGACACTTAAACGCATTATGGTACACGAATCTTGTACCAATGGTAAAATGTTTATTTTGTCTTAAATATTGAATATCAGAAGCACAGGTAAGATGATAACATCAATGTTGATTTAAATTGAAAAATAATTCGTGTTTTCAATGTCGAAGATTTTGGATGATACTGAGTTAGAGACTTAGCTACTTTAAATATCGAATTGATTTTAAGATCTTATTACTTACTTTTAAATTTAGCCCCTGTTTACCTCTCTGATCCTTTACAACTTTATACACCTGGTCGAACATCCGATAAATTACTTTTAAAGTACAAATCTGTCAAACTAGTTTCTTATGGTCAGCGCTCTTTTAGTTTAGCAGTACGTTAAATCCCGCCCCATGTCATCAAAAAGTAGCTAATAAGACATGTGGAATATAAAAGATAATACATATCGCCATTAATTTAAAGAACAGAATTCTAGAATTAACGTGTCTGTAAATGTATAGAATATGGTGGGTAGAATGTCTCTTTAATGATTTATCATTAGAAATTGGATCTATTTAATTTCCTGGAAACTTCTCTTTGATTGGAAAATTGATAAATTAACAAAGTCACAATACAACATTTCTATCATGTATATATGGCGGCTTTTTTCGGTACACACTTTTGTGATATTTTCTGGTGTGTGACTGATACAATTTCAGATCATGGCCCGTAAAATGTCTTTTACAATGTTTCGGTAGGCATCTTTGTGATACCTCTTGGTTTAACTTTTTAACATGATGCCTCCAAGCTTTATATAGCTAGGGCCTCACCACAGAATTAATGTGGTGGGCCCTTAGTGAAAATAGGGACGCCTGTCCAACCTCGTAGTCAATTCGAGACTAACATATGGTTCAATTTTATTTCATTAATTCGCTTGCGCGTAGGGCTCTTTAGCAATAGGTGGAAACCGGAGGACCCGGAGAAAACCCACGAGGTTGGACAGGCGACCCTACCCCTTGTCACGTACAAGCGGGGAATTGAATCCACGCTACTTGACTCAATGACAGACATTACGATGCAACACGCACGCGTTAACCAATCGGCCACCCAAACCCCCTAGCATGGAAGTAACAATTCCCCGAATTCCCATCAGAGACTGAAAGGAGTGAACGAAGATAATATATTTTTGTAGCATTTTTGTATAAGGGCCGTTTCCATATATGAGAGTTGTCTACCCACTTTAAACAAAATTGGAAATGTGAAAAGGTCAATAACAATTCCCAAAGAGTCTACTTTAGCTTATAAAATGCTTTAGTCTTTCTTTTAGATAGAAGAGAATTAAAACCAGTGAAACTGGATAACGCGTTGGGCACGTTTTGTTCATATTACGCCATTCATTCTGCTTTTTCCAATTATGCTCGAGCAATATCTTCAGTGATTTATTCCTAGCTTGAAGCAAATTACCATCTTACTCACGTTTTTAATTCACGCAAATACAAAATGAGTTCTTGGCTATAAATTGTTTTTTTCTCACTTTTATAATACTGTGATGTTTAATGCTCCGTGCAGTTTAAATACAGCAAACACTGGTAAAAGATGAAGTTCAGTTTAAAGGAGGCAAGTCGCTAACTCAATATCATCCACAGTCGTCGACATTGCAAACACGACCAATTGGACAATGAGCTAAATCGCTAACATTTGGGACCTAGAAATTGATACAAGTGGGTCGCAACTCATATAATACTGTAATATAAATGTATATAAACTGATTTACATTCAATCGTTTCCGTCTTTACTCTAATTTCAAATCAGTTATGTTCCGTGAAATAAGCCAGCAGTCTTAATCGAATGCAAATTCCTAGCGTCTGGTTATTCCAGTCTACATACGCCGTTTGGTTTGGTGCAATATGTCTAGACTCGTTCCTCGAGTCTCTTGCTAGAACTGGGGCTGAAACGCATTATGGTACACGATTTGTGTACCAATGGTAAAATATTTATTTTGTCTTAAATATTGGATATCAGAAGCCCATCTTTTTCCGGTAAGATCACAGCATCAATGTTGTTTTAAATTGACAAATAATTCGTGTTTTCAATGTTGAAGATTTTGGATGATATTGAGTTAGAGACTTAGCTACTTTAAATCAACATGATGTTGTTATCTTACCGTGAAAAGATAGGCTTCTGATATCCTTCTGATATCCAATATTTAAGACAAAGTGCAAATTTTAAAACTGGCACGCGAATGTTTTTAAGCGCCGTTTTTAATAAAGCGACTCGATGAACGAGGCTAATACTATCGGTGTAGACTGGAATAATCAGACGCCAAAGACTGTCGTTCAAGCTGCACTCTTTGCGTATTTCGCCGAACATAAATGATTAGAAATTACAGCAAAAACAGAAACGATGGAATGTAAATCGCTTTATTAACATTCATATTACATTATTATATGCGACCCACGTGTGTCCATTTCTAGGTGCAAAAGAATAGCTATTTAGCTCCTTTAAGCTTTTTGAACCGAATTTAAAGATAGTAAACTCCTTTGGTTTATATCAAATTTTGGACCAGGAACTAATCCCCAAGAGCTACTCATATTGTTGTCTTTGTTGTTGTTCTTGAAGGCGAAGCCCATCGAAAAAAGGTCTACGGTGGAACATGAAACTTGGCATGTCTATTCAAAGATATCTGCGATGAGGTCATAGTCAGTTCCTGGTCCATAATTATTTTTTTTCTCAACAATTCGATTGCGCATTTACCTTTAGCATTGGCAGGAAACCGACAGAGAGGTGAGATTTAACGCCCACTCGAAACAAACTAGGTTATTTCGGGACTAATTACATATTGTTCAATTATTTTTTCCTGCAGAAATTCGCTTGCGCGTGTTGTTTTTAGTTGTCAATTGACTCATTGACAGACCTTATGATCTACAGCGCAGCCATTAAACCATTTGGCTACCGAACCCAGTACCGGTTAAACGATTGCCGGTTTGTTTAGTTTACTTTTACATCCGACTGTCGAACACCAAATCCCAATAAAGATTTCATCTGTATTCTTTTTACTTAAACCAAACAAGTATGTTTTTTTTAACATAACGGAAGTTCTCAGAACTAATTAAAGATTATTTTCATTTCTTTTATTGTATTAAACTAAAATAAATTTATATTCTAGTTGAACATGTAAGATGTATAATATAAGCTACAACAAAAATAGAATTAATTATATTCGCCAACTGGAATAGGGTTCCAACAGAATATTATATAGATTGAATTGCATGTAATAGGATTAAAAGCACAACCAGTAGGATCTGTCACATTTTTCCAAAATAATATTTTTCCAAAATAAAAATTATTACAATTTTAATGGCGAGCCGCCGTGGATCCGTGAGTAATGCCGGTGTTGGTCGAGAAAGTTTCCCCGAGTTTTTCCAGCTTTCTTTCCCCTTATCAGTGGTGCAGGACAGAGTGAGTGGCAAGGACAGCGTCAAGTTGTTCCGATGGGACAATGTACATGGATACATCGCATATGGTTTTCTTGATTATCCCAATCGCTGCATGAAAGTAGGTCGTTAAACCAATTCCATTTCACAATTTTAATGTGAACCGTGTTGTTATAATATCACGAAGAAAAAATATCCTCACATTTTCTGATCGATATATTCGAACAAAAATGGTACAAGCTTTCTATTAATAATCTGGACCATGGTAGTCGAGCAGTAAGTCAGGCACTGGACTTTCTACAAGTATGTCCCGTTTTAAATAGACGAAAATTGGTCTAAAAACACATATTAATGTAACATGAATGTATAAAAGTGGTTTATATTCAATTTTTAAAAAAACATTTTTTTTTAAATATTGTAATTTCTAATCAATTCGGTGAAATACGTTAACAGTTCAAACTGAACGACGGACGTTTGCGCCTGCTTAGTCCATTCTGCACTTTTTATTATTATTATTATTTTGTCGTTTGTAACTCAGCCATTAATAATTACCCCCTGCATTTTCTTGTAGGATACATGTTTCTTTGTTTATTACAAATGGCGCACAAAAACATAGAATGCACGTTACGTGTACTGATTATAAAATGTTGCTTGTGTTTTATGTATTGGATGTTAGGATCCTATAGTTTCACGGCAAGATAACAACATCAATATTGATTGAAGTGTGCCAATATTCAATTCTAATTCGTGTTTTTAATTTCGAATTTTATGTTAAATATTGAGTTCGAGGTTGAGCTCCTTTAAGTAATATGTTGCCCGGTAATATTTATTAGCAGGCACACCACAATGTTTTCCGATTATTACGATGCTGGAGCTAACGTATCTATAAATTGGGAAATCCATCATAATTGAGTTTTGGCGTAATATCCCTTTAAGACACGAAAATATTTCAATCAGAATATGTAATACACAGAACTCAAGAATCGATATAGATAACGTGGGAAAATGTTTTATATGCGCCATGTTCACCTGCATAGTGAAATAAAAACTCGAGATATTCTAAGAAAAAAAAAAGATCACAGCTGGTTCAAATGTACTCAATACTTGCAGGTTGAATTGAAACTGATAATGGTAGGTTGATATGAAACTTACACTGTCTGGTTATTGTAGCCATGTCTGATGCAAGTAACCGCCTATCGTGTTCAAAGGACACAATATCCACATCACAGAGTTTCATTATTGTTAGATGTAGGAAAAATGACTTCTTGTGGTGGATCTGAGACGTCATGACAACCGAACATTAAATGACACGGTGCATTTTGAAAATATTTCTCGCTAATATCACTAGTTTATATGTTATTTCTTATTTTAGCACTGACAAGGTGACACATGAAATTCTCAATTCCACCACTACCTCTGCACTTTTGATATAAATTTAATTAATTCAAATATTTTAAATTCTGAAATCCTACATACATACGCTACTGCCCTGACTTACCCGAGTAGGGATTTATTGCACGAGCGTTTGTTTAAAATGTGTACTTTAGAAGTATATATCTTCGCAATGGCTGTGCATATTCCTCTCAGATTCTGATGTAAGATCACATCATGGCAAATCTATTTTATTTTTAACCAACCGCTTATGACTTCTAAAGTTCTAAAGTCCATGAACCACTTTAATGTCTACAAGTGACGGAAACGAGAAAAATTGAAGACGTCATTAAAGATGCATTATGTAAGATCTAAATCTGCCTATTGTTAGACATTTATGCACATGACAAGCCAATAATCAACTCTCTAGAGCATCGGATGGTCGAGATTTAATGAGTTTAAACACCCGCGAGATTTAAAAATTTAACATTAAAATGGCTGATCGAAACTTAAGTACCGATGATACGATAATAAAAGATCAAAGCTACATCTTAGAACAGTTATAACTTCGCTCAGAATAAAGTAATTTAAATGATTTTCTAAAATATTCATTTTTCATTATCTATTTTTGAACTATTATATCAAGAACGGTCACGTCTTTATCTTAATCTTACAAAATACATCTTTAATGACACGACAACCCAGGTCGTTAACATATATATCAAAAGTAAACAAATACCATTCTAATGCTATTGTGTAATAAAAATCCCAGAGTATAAAAAAAAATCCTCACGAGGAATAGGCATGCCTGAACAAAAAGAAACCAGAATTATTATTACTTTATTATCTCAGATACATTAAGATGACGTTGGGAAATCAATAGAAACCAATGCAAACTTTCAATTCAATTTTTTTTTACCCTTTTTCAATTATAAGTACTTTTGATTGTGTATGCTATTAAATCTATGTTTAACCTTTAATTTAGCATGTAGAATCTTTAAGTCAGTTATGATTTTAATAAAGCAATAATTATATGTACAAAAATTAGTCTTATCAACCATATGTTATGTCTAGTTTTGATTACAGTGCTGTCTATATCATTTCAGATGATAGTCAGGATTTAATCAACTTTCTGAAGATTGTGATTCTATAATGGATTGCGCTGAAAGGAGAATAAATTAACTTATTTTGAAAAATATTTCAAGTGGTGATCGAATGAATGCTGCGATTTGTTATAAGAACAATCGCTGTTAATGGATTACTTATTTATATACATTAGTCATTGATATATTGACACAACAATTGATGTTCTTAAGAAATTCTAACACATGAACGACAATTTACTAATGCCATGGAGAACAGAAATTCTTTATTTTTATGTTGACATAAGTTCGTGTTTGAAGAAGAACCAAAACAACAAACATGGCTTCCATTGACGTGGAACAGTCAGTGACAGACGGTAAGATAGAAAATGGTTTATTATTTTTTTCGATTCCGAGAACCATGCTCATGAATTTTTATAACTGCTTAGTGTACTGACCAAAGTACATCCAGTATTTTTTTTAATAAAGGCAGTGTGGGTCAAAGAAAGGTTGTAGTGGCGGATCCAGAGGGTCAGGAGGGTTGCCCCCCCCCTTTCGCTCAGCTATAAAAAAGATATGTGTCATGGTCGTGGCCTTTATGCTTTATTATCAAATTGTGGGATGAGATGGCTATTCAAAGCGCGAGATAATGGTATAGATATGTGATATGACAATTAATTCGTATTAATTCATACTAAAAATTGACGTTAAACGGGGCGTTAAATTGTGCTGAACTGATTTTATTGCATATCAGTAAAACTAAAACGTAACATAGTAGGTTCGGTACATGTATTTAGTATGTTTTTATGTAAAATCCCAGTTTCTGTGCTTTGTCAAAGTGACCTCTGGTTACCCCAGATATACGCCAAAAGGAACCTCACAAACCCCCTCCTGCAAAAATTCCTTTCATACAATTAATCTACATCCCTTAGTTCACGTTCTCATTTCCTCCTTCAACAATAAATTGTTGCCCATCTTAACATCCTGATTGATACTAAAACATTGAAACATTTTACACTTCAACTATTCCTTTATTTGTGCAAAACGTATGGATGAAAAATACGAAACTCTGGTTAAAAATTACAGCTGTGAACTTTTGGATACTGGATACTGTCATTGTAAATCACAGACCAGACTAAATTCTTCTCGAGATCTTCAATTTTTAGATTGACTCGGAGTTGATTGGAGGCTTAATGTGTTTTATAAACAGCTTTTAATTTCCACGGTCTCAAGACCGACTCGTTAATGAAGTAAATTTGATCCAAGTCCAAGTATTGGATAATAATTAGAGAAATTTGTCTCGCGCGTCACGAGAAGAAGAGGGGGGTCGAGGGTGTAGAAATGATTGAAAGGCAGTGAAAACGTCAGAAATTGTCTGAATAAACATTTATCGTGACTGGAAGAAGTGTTTCTCCTTCAGAAGACAAATTAAAGTAAATTCTCCGGGAAATTACAAACACTTATAAAACAATAGACGATGGCATAACAAAATGAATGATAAAACACGTCGCTAAACAATAACTAAACATTCAGACCCAATTTAATCAATGGATGTTAAACACTGGATTTCTGCAAGACTTAAGGTGGCGTAAACAGGAATTTGCTTTGAGTGCAAATGACCGAAGCTCTCACAAAGCGACCAAGGAAGGTTGGTTTGGAAAATTCTATTTTTATTTTCTGCAATCTCCTTCTATTTGATGCATTGCGTTGTGTAATGATATTGTAACTAACTAGTGTCGAATGTAGGACCTACAGACTTTAAATTTATCGGAAATCTTTATTTGTATGGGGAGATGTATAATAAACCTGAAAGAAGTCGAAAAATAATTCCGATTTTTTGAAACAAATTTTGACATCCCTACTGAAAATCACATTAGCTTTGTCTATGACAATTTTTGCACCCAACCCTCCCTCCTCTTTCGGAAATCCTTCATGATATTATACTGGTGAACTCAAGGAGTATAGTGGACGACTCGACTTTAAGATTAGATACTGATGTTAAACGTGATATGAACAACGGTTTTATGGCTTCAAGGAATAATATGGATCAGTCTGTATTTGCTTCGTATTGATTGATTCCAACGAGCTGGTTCAAAATCTAAAACGCAAATATACTAAGCAGCAACAGAAACGCCAGGTTGGTATGTTACTCTGAATAGACGCATTGCATAAAACTTGTCAAATTGTTTTATTGTATATTGTGACCACTTTACCTGCGCAATAATACTCCTTCCCAAACATAGAATTGAACCCAGGAAATGTTCTCCAAAACGCCACCTGACTTCTGAGATGGTAATGTGTTCTCCATGATTTTCATGTAACTCATGCTCATGTATGTTCACCAGGACCAGCCCTTTAAATTGCACCACTATACCTGGTTGAATCATTCACACTAGAACGTCAGCAGCATGTCACGACTCACGACAGCAGTGCGCTACATCGATCAAGCTCTCAGATCCCACGTCATACCACATTTCGCACGTCATCGAAACAACGTTTTCCAGCATGGCAACGCCCGTGCCCACCCCGTCAGAGTTACTCTGGACTTTCTACAGCTGAACGGTGTCAACGTTATGCACTGACCAGCCCTTAGTCTTTGGGATGAATTTCAGAGGAGACTTAATAACGTCATACCGAGACCAAAGACAGCCGATGGATTGCGCCAGGCTTTTCTGAGAGTGTGGTTCCACGTGCCAATGGTACAGACGCCGCGCTGCTGTTATTGACACGGATGTATAGACTGTGTACAGACTCTATACCTTGTGATGGCTTTGATCCATTTAGTAAGTCGTGTTCTAGAATGATTTGATTAAAGTGCCTCTCTGATTTTGAAATCGTACTGACGTTTTGTTTTTGTTTTGTTTTGCTGTTTAGTATAATTTATAGAAAACAAGGATGTGAGTTTAAGCAGTTGAATCACTTATAGAGATTCGCTGTGTTTTATTATCTGATCACTGTGAACAAAATACCCCAGGTCATACTTACAGTATTATATCCACCCAGGGGCATGTGCAGATATAGGATATTCGTATACGAGGAGTGTATTGTGGATGGTCGTGGTGAGGGGGGGGGGGTACAATTTTTAGTCGTTGCTGCGAAAAGGTTAAACCACCATTTTCACTGATCACGTGAAGATCGTGCTGCTTGAATCGGTAATGCTGGTCGGCAATGCCTCTGACAACCCAATCTGATTGAAATACAGATCTATATTTTGTTTCGTTTTTGTATACTTTCGATGGCCTACAGTACATGAAGATCTGACAAGTTATACCGATAGGTCATGTCAGGGGTCAAAAGACCGAATTTTAACCTGTGACGTCAGACATTTGATTAACCAATCAGCATTGATGTTACTAGTGGATTACCCACAGTTGCGGGCAAAAAAGGTCAAACGCTCGATTCGACTGACCATTTTGATTGGCTGGCCCCTCATTTCAAGCAGAACACGAGTTAAATAACAAGTCTTTCAGATCCAAGTGTAGTAAAGACAAGTAACACGAAATTTTGAACTATAAAAACGAAACGAAATAGGATCTGTGTTTTAACCAGATTGCTGACAACCAAACAGAATTAACAATATTTTCAGTTTCCAACGTTCTCTAATCGTAGTTAACAGTTTTTTTTTACTGGTTTCTGATAATTTTGTCGTGTCGTTATCCGTTGCAAACTTTATTTTGAATCTATAAAAGGAATAACAATCCAAAAATGGTTCAATTCCATTTACAAGGAAAATGATGTATTACATTTGGATACATTTTCACTAGGATTCAGTCGTGGAGAATTTGATATTTACCGAAAAATGCAAATAACACAAACAAGGTCAAAGAAAACAAGAAACCAGATAGTTGTGTAGCTGCTACGTTTCAGTCGCATCATAGGGCACCTAGTCCAATCTGATTAAAACACAGATTCTATTTCGTTTCGTTTTTTATAGTTCAAAATTTCATTTTACTTGTTTTTACTACACATCTGGAAGAGTTTTTATCATTGACGTGTTCTGGATGTTGTTAGGTATTAGCCAATGAAATGGTCTGTATATAACGGCGAGCTTTAGGCGTGTTTTGCACGGAACTTTTGGTAATTCATTAGAAACATCAATGCTGATTGGTTAATCAAATGCCTGATGTCACAGGGTCAAAAGCCGATGGTATGACCCCTGACGCGACCTTCAACTGGTCAGATCTTCATGTAGTGTAGGCCATCGAAAGTATAAAAAAACGAAACGAAATATAGATCTGTATTTTAATCAGATTGGCACCTAGTCAAACCGCAAGACCCCCCCCCCCACCGCCCCAACCCCCGTGACTGTACTGTCCTTTATTTATTGTACAATTATTGTGTTCTTGATATTATTGGTATTATTAAGAGTGTGATATACAAGATATACCTTAATGGTTTTATAATAGATTTTATTGATTAATATTAATGACTAGAAAGCAGGTCTAGTGGAGTTAAGCGTCCATGTAGGCCGACGTGATGAGCAGCGGAAACCAGACACCGGATGCTATTTATAACACTATTACAATTTGTTTATCCTTCCCACGTATATTTTGTAAAAGTCGCTGATCGCCGTGTGCAATTTTCGAACAATATCTAAATTTTGTCAGGAATTAATCGAGCAATATATACTCGAATTAGACATTATTAAATCGACCAGTCTTAACGTAGGCCTTAGATGCAATATAAATTATTAATTAGACATTAATTAACTTACCAAGACCATAATTAACTTTCGATGCCATCGGATGGCCCCGATATTTAGTAGATTTGAATACGTTTTGTGGTTGATGAAATAACCGTAGAAATTGGATGATCGAGACATCGTTTATTATTGTAACAACGGTAGCAATGACGACCGAGGCTACAGTGTTATTGTATCACCGATAACTAGACTCAGAGTGAAGTAATTTGACAGAATTTTGAACATATTCCTTTTTCATTATCTATTTTTAACTATTATAGCGAGAACTGTCAACTCTATATCTTACCCAATGCCCTTTAAAGGCCATCTATAACCCACATTACTTTTTTTTAATATTAATTTCACGTTTTATACTCGTAAGTTGATGAATGAATTTCGATTCCCAGTGTGGTACGTGACGAGAAGTAAGGTCGCCTGCCCAACCTCGTGGGTTTTATCCGGGAATTTCGGTTTCCTCTCAATCAATGCTAAAGACCCCTACGCACATCCGAATTATTGTAATAAAATTGAACCATATGATGTTTGTCCGGAAATTAATTTATATGTGTTGAGTGGACGTTACCCCCCACCCCCACTCACTCTCTCTCTCTCTCTCTCTCTCTCTCTCTCTCTCTCTCTTTATCTTCGATCTCTCTTAATAAATGAAGGATAAATGAAGGATAACTCATTTTTCGT